GCTCAGCAGCATGGAGTAAAATGGCACAACAAGGTTCAAGCAAACCAAACCAAAGTTGTACAGGGATCTTTTTGGAAAGACTGGAGGCAATTAGTCTACCTGGAACACTTCCCGCAGTACAGGTCACTACACAGCCCTTTCCCAGTTCTCTGCTTATTCCACCATTCTGCTGTGACAGTCTTGGCTACCTTTCCAGCAATCTTAAAAGCCAGCCACTGTAGTATATTATACAGCCTTAGAAACTATTCATGCTACTATTTGCAGAGTGCAGAGAGAGGGAACTTTGTCTCTCTCCTTTCGGATGTGACAAAGTAGTTAAAATCTTGGTCAGATGATTGACATGGAGAAGATTATATATTAACACTCAGGTATGAAAGACTCAATAACTCATGGAAATAACTGGAGAAAAATACCATTATTAAAATGGCAGAAATGCTAAGAATAACCAAACTTCTTGGTATCATGAGTGAAAGATCACTTGTTTCCATTCAAATCCTCTCATGTTTCATACAAAATATAGATTTGAATAGGCAGCATTTGGGTAATGATAAAGCTGAGGCCTAAAATAAGAGTGGGAAAAGAGACTTGAATGGAAAATTTAGAGGCAAACAAAACAGAATGACGTGAGAACCAGTGGAAGAGTGAATGCTAGGAAACAGTATTGGAGAAAACAAAAAGAGAAATGAGCTACGCTGAGACGAAGAGGGAAGAAAAAAAAAAAAGATTGGGAGAATAAGACAAGACCTTGGGGAAAGGACAGTAAGAGATAAGAGATAAGATATTATTAAAAATTAGGGTTTGACAAAGAAAGTATCACATCTCTAATCCTGATCTTCCTACTGTGTCACCTGGAAGCTTTGTGAACACTAATAAACTTACATATTCTACTGAAATTGTAGAAACTTCTACTAAATATTTTATATATTTTTCTCAGTTTAATTAGCTAGCTGTCTAGCTACCAAGAGGTTCTATCATTTTAAAACTGCTGACACTATAAAATACATTAATCTCTACAACAGTAAAATCATGCAGTGTATCACCTTATTGTAAATCTTTATATACTATATACTATTGACTGGAGGGTAAATACTATATAAAATGTGTGAACATACAAAGTTAGATAGCACATCTTCTCTCAAGTTATCCTCACTTCAGCACAGGTTGTCTAACTTTTAAAACAAATCTGCATGTATTTGGCAATGGATTTGTGAAATAAAAAAGCTTTGCAAAGTTAAATTTCCAGAGGCTACCCTAGCCATGCCAAAACATATAAACACAGTGAAGCAACATTTCATTTTCTCTAAAGTTGTTCTTTTGGCTGAACTACTAACTAAAGCTTTCCAGGTTATTCTATCATCCATCAGGCTACTGAGGATGATGGCTACTGATTTTTCAGAGCATTGTTGTACACACTATGTAGATGCTGAGATAGCTTACAGCTGGAACACTGAAGTCTAATACTCAGCAGTTATGGACACAACTTGAGGAAGGTCTTGTTGCATCATAACCCATCTCGCACTCTTGTCCTTGTTCTTGAAGTAACAGTTGTCCAAGAAATGGGCAGTCTAAATCTGTCTAAAACTTAGCAAGGCAGAAAGTAACAGCATCCTGAGTTTGCTACGCCCACAAGTTTTAGATCACAGTAAAATGCTGAGATACAATGAAACTGGTCCTAATACAATAAATATACGATAAACATAAATATAAAAATCTGATTAGGGTTAAAATGAAAACTCATTTTTAAGTTGAAAAGTGTATCTGGTTGTGTTTATGCTGAAGTCTTGGGATGTTCTCACTTTAAATCCCAAACTGGATGTTGAAACAAAGAAAGCAGAAAGAGTCTGCAAAGAATCTATCCAGCTCCTATACAGAGCACGGCTCATTCTAGGGCAAAACACTTCAGGTAAATTTAATCACTTTGGTACAGACAACGAGGATAGAGAAACATAGTAACTAAAGCTTCTGGATTATTCCTTAATGCTGGTGTGCCAGTTTGAACTCGCATTAAAAAATTCCACAGCTACCCAAATGAACTGGAGTAAGAGTGAAGTCTCTTCCAGTGACTTAGGTATTAAGGAATTTATATTCCACTGATTCATGATAAGACTTAAGCTCTTGCAGGATACATTTTTAAGCAATGTGGTCCCATTACTCAGTAACGGGATTCAAATTTATTACAACACTTTCACCTTTCAGTGTTTTAGTTTCAAGTTGTACCAGGACACAGCAAACAAGCCCTGATTTCCCGCTAACTACTGGCCCACTAACTGCACACAGATCTTTAAGCTACCTTGATCCAAACGAAAGACCCAGCTCAATGGCTTTTTATCTGAAGTTCATTTTTGCCATGAGTCAGCCATGCCCAATGCAAGATAAACACATGAAGCAGTGATTCTGGGGAAAGATACAATGCTGGCACGATAGATTATGTCACTGTAAAAAGTTGATCCTTCACGAAGATTATTTAGCTTGTGCATCTCTGCTATATCTATATGGATATGAAGTGAAGAGACAGTCTGCTTCTTTATCCAAAAATGTAAAGTGCTAGAAAGACATTTACAAACAACAACAACAACAACTTGAATTTCTGAGAAACAAAAGAGGACAGTTTGCTTTGGGGCCTAGAGAACATGTTTTCATCTTAGTAAAGCATCAGCATGGGGAGTTGCAGTTGGAAGCCATGGTGCCTCAAGGTCTTCAAAACCAGATGAGAGGAAAAAAAAAAAAAAAAAAGACAAAACTGATTCAGAGCAGTCCCACAGGACTGCACACGGTGGGCCATGTGCTGCTAATAAGGGTCCATCAACACTCCCAACCAAGACAAGAGACAAGTCCGTGCAGGGAGTCCTGTCAGGAGCTAGAGGAGGCATAGCTGGAAGCAAGGCTACAGCACACACCTGAGGGGTCTGGCCAAGAGACAAGCGGCCTACAAAAAAATCCAAAAAGCAGGGGCTGAGACATTGACAGCGACATTGTAACCCAGGCCAGTAGTGAAACCCCATCATCCCTGAGCTTAAATGGCCCATGGGCAGAGAGCACGTGTGTGTGTGTGTTATCAGTCCCAGCTGAAGTCCTTCAGGACTATAGCACCCTCAGAGAGGCCTGCCACTCACATTCTCCTCCAGGGGTGTCAGCTCAGTCTTTGTCCAAATACAGCCCTCCATGATGCAGAACAGTGTACAGTAACACAATGCACGGCACAAATAGAGGGGAGATGTCCAAATACAAGAAGATGAACAGGTTTGTAACTGTGGGATATGGTATAAACACAGGACACACAACACGGCTGCAGAGCTCTTAGATACTGCACATACTTTTCCGTGGCTGTTTTGTTATAAATAGAATCAGTAACGGTAAAGAGGATAAAACAGTTTCTCAGCAAGTAGAGCAAACATATTTTGGAGACTCAGCTGATACTAAATAGAGTTTGGAAGAAATCCAATGGTTAAGTGCCTTTTTTTTCCCCTTAATTAAAACAATACATTTTGCACCTGTGCATTTATGACTTTGGTATTATATTAACATTACCCACCTGCTCTTTTCCAGCTCAGTTAACAGTAAAATTTGAGGTAGCCTAAACCCAAGCCATATAACTTAAAAGATACATGTAATATTATGATTTATGACTCACTTTGTCTTTTTTCTGTTCACAAATGTTGTAATCTGTTGCAATCTTGAGACACTCAGAACCTAAGACTTAAAAAGCTACAGCCTCTGTAGTAGCTTCATTTTGGGTACTTTCCTTCTTATTGGCTAGAAACAATGAAGGTCTGATTGTAACACAAGTTTTGTTTTCAAAAATGACTTCAAGTGATCTCAGACAGTCTACTATGTCACTTGTGTGTCACAGGAGAATCAGGAACTGGTCAGTCAAAGCTAGCAATTCCAAATGTTAAGCATTCAATAATAATATTTAATCTGGAAAATATGGTTGCAAGGTGTTTTGTGAAAGAGAGTCACTGAATTTTCTGAAGTCACTGAACTTCATTACGCCAAAGGTTTCACTGAACTGAATTATATCAAAGGTAATTTTAAACTTTTTAATGAATGCTTTAATTCAAGTCCCTCCTTATAAGATCAAATAGTTGTTAATTTGTTAACAAATCACATTTGCTGCTGGTTTAGAAATGGTAAGAAATTTTGTAGTCTCTCAGAGATTCAGGATGCAAAATACGTAAATATTTTAAAGCTGAAACCAATCTTTTGTGTTGGAACTGAACTACAGTGGAGCTCATGAAGCACAGTTGTAATTCACTTTTCTTAAATGGCTCTCTAAAGTATAAGAAGCTTCATGAGGAATATGTCCTTTAATACACATAATTCCAGAGCTATTTCTCCATGCAAGGACTTTGGCTCCAAGTAACTTGCCCGACAGGATTATTTTTCTGTATCTTCTCTCAGCACTGACTTCTTGATCAACCTGAGGCTGTTCTTAGGGAGCTTACAATCTGAAATCTCATTTAAGCACCCTGAAAAGGGCAGCTTTCCTTAGGAGTTCTTTGCTGGACAAGATTAATAAAAATAAGGATAATATCTTCTGATAGCATCCACTAAGGCCTTCGGCAATATTGCATTTATGATTTACCATTTACCATGACTGCTTCAGAGATGTTGTATTATTGCCAAACATAAGATCCAGACAACAAAATGCTCACAGATGCAGAGAAAAAGAAGAAAATTGCCTGCAAGTAAAAGGATAAGGGAGAAATGAAACTACTCTGATAGCATGACAGATAGGAAAAGGCCAAAAAGTCTGGAAAATAAAAATGAAATAATGAGCTCACAAGGTTCACCAGAACTAGAAAAGTCAACAACAGGTGTAACAAACAGGTAGATTCTATAGAGCAATCCACAAATGGAGCTCTTCTGTCTACTTCCATACAAACCTAAAATGAATCACCAATAAACCATCCTGGGGTTAATTTCAGCAGAAATATGTCCCTTGTTCTGGCTTTCTACCCCAAAATTCAAAGACGTGTGAGTAGGAGATTGAGTTGATAGCTCTTGCCTCTTTTTAGTTGCATCAGATAGTCAGCATGCTGTGGTTGATTGCCTCACATTTACCCAGCAGGCACAAAAAAGCTTCTGCTTTTTCTGTAGTCTATGAAAACCACAGAGAAGGGCCTGGTGTTTTCTTGTTGCCTTATAGTACTGGACCTTGAACACTTGAGTGATGTGTCTAACAGTTGGAAATGGCTCTCATTTTCCAACCGTCTTTTCCTGCATCATTCCAGCAGTTATGAAGTAACACAGTAAGTTAATATGTGGATATTTTAGTCTGTCTTTGCTATTGGCAATTCTCTTCCTCCTACATCATTCTGCCTTCTGTCCCTGGTGCAGGCAAATTTAAACAGTTTTCCACACCCTTTGATGCATTGCTTGGTGAAGTAGGTGCTACAGAATATTTTAGCATCAGCATGTGAGGGTAGGCCTGTTTAAAATTCTGGCAGATTCACAATAAACAATACACTGTGGAAATAGAGTCTGGAAAGTTACAACTGCTTCCAAAGCTCCAAAAAGAATATCTCACTGGAGTTTAATCATGTTACCTTGGGGATGACGTACAATAACATGTATTTAGCTATTAAGGATAAAATCCCTCCTTCTCAGGTACCCACCCTACTACTAATAATCCTGAAAGATTGTCTTCTGTGTAAAATCCAGTGTTTGTTTTTCCCCTCCAACTAAAGAGAGACAGAAATTTTATAAAATAATCTGCCATACAGAGGACTGGTGTCTGGATAATGGATTTGACTCTGAAACGTTAAAATTGAATAAAGTCACTGGAGAAAATAAAGCAACAGACTCACTGAAATCTATTCACCTTGAGAACAGTGTGAAAGTGCGTAGCAAACTACCTGTGGCAAACAACTTCTGATCAAGACCACTAGGGTAGGTATCTTTTCTGTTAAACTCAGTTTAGACGGGTTGATAACATTGACATGTTATCATGATGCTGCGAACAGAAACTCATCTAGGCCTTATGGTTGTTAAAATGACAATGGAACTATGAAATTAAACCACTTTTTGCCTACGTGTTGCTCAAAAGGAGTGTAAGAGATGCTTACTTGGGAGAAGCTTTGCTGCTTAGTCCATGCACAATGGTATATCAGAGAAAGAAATATATCTGCCTTTGTATGTTGTCCTCCACTTGTGGTGGGGTGATGTCCCCTACTGCAGACAGCTCAGTGGAGTAGAGGAAAAAAACTTTACTCTTTCAGACAACCAGAAATGAAATAAGCTTCTTGTATCCTTGTTTACCATGTCACATGTACATAGATTTAATTGACAGTTATTGTTCATATGTTTCTAAAGCCTTTCACCAAATTGTACATGCAAAGGCAAATGTTTGTACCTCTTAAATATATCCAAGGCATAAAGATGTGACCTTTTCTCTCTGGGATTTTAATTACAATACTTTGGAACCATGCTTCTGTTCATTTCCCCACAGAAACAGGCCTACAACATCTGCAATGAATACCATGTGTTCACAGCTGTGATCAGAGAATGAGGCATCTCAGAGAGTTCTTCACTGATTCCTGGAGAAGGTTGCCTGTTCCCCAATACAATATTTATGCCTAATGCATTACACACAAGGCACCAGAAGAGCTGAAGCGCATCAGCAACCAAAAAAGAAAAGCTGCAAAATAACAAATTAAAAAAATAACAAATAAAAGCTGCACTTAACAGCTTGCTATTTACCTCTGCTTGGGCCACATCAAAGCAACCTCTCATAATGCTTTACAGTGTGACAACAGAAGGCTCACACAGTAACGCCAATGTATTGGCCAGAAAAGAGGTGCACAATCAGAGCTTTACTTCCGGAACTTAAACAGTTTAATTTATTAAGTACACCATAGTCAAGGAGTCATTGTTTTCCATCAACACAAACTGCAAAAACACCTGGCTGGCATCCCAGGCACAGACTATCCTTGTTGGATACTTGAACAAGCAAACAAGCCGCTGCACAACTGCTTCTCTATCCTGTTGATCACAGATGCGTTCAATACAGTCCATGTAAGAAATCTCAAAGACTTGTTGAATTTTATACTCACAATGCTTGGAGAGAAGGCCTCTGTAAGGAATGTTATCTTTACCATGGATAACATCCCAGGATGTAGAAGAGGCACAGGAGGTAAGTGCCGTGTTCTGGAACTCACTGGACAGTTCTGAGACAAGGAAACAGTCCTGAAGCAGGCTGGCTGCAAGTCACCAGGCAAGACTCTTCTCCTTCCATCAACCAGACTTGCTCTACTTCCTACTGTGCCACCTGCTTGACCTGCACTCCCACTTCCAATATCTGTCTTTAGTCTCTGGTATACATTCCTCTTCTGGGAAACTCCATACCCCTCGTCAGCATGGCCTCTTTCTATAACCTTTTGTCTCACCTGCTAGCGTGTATTCACCCAATTATCTTCCTTGGAACATACTAGAAAATGCACGCTCATCTGTTCTAAAAATCAGGCCTAATTACAGACTTAGTTATGTGACTGTTTGTATGAATTACAATCATGTTAATTAATTATTAATTCTCATACCAAATAATCAGTTGGAACAGTACTGGGAAAAGTCTAGTGTATTGCCTTTTATAGCAGTTAAATCTCCTTGGTGTTTGAGATCAAAGGCAGGGGTTTGATGATGTCATGCTCTTGGTTTAAGATGACAAACCTAGTGTGTTGTAATCAGCATCAACATGTACCAGCATCTCTTGTTTTTTCCCCCTACTTTTTTTCTGTCCTAGTGTCAGCCAAGTATTCATTAAAGAAATGTTCTTTCTGAACATTCTTGTTTCATTTTGTACTTGCAAAGGACTTAGGAGATGCCTACCAAGTTATTGTTAGGTTGCTTTCGAAATTAAGGTATGCTCAGAAAAGTACATAACCTTATAACAGAAGACGACTTTTCTTTTTCTTTTCTCTCTCTCTCTCTTTTTTTTTTTTTTTTTTAATCTAGGTTAAGTGGTTTTTGATTTAAAAGATGCAAATACATGTATATAGAAAAAGCAACTATATTTCATATTATTTACTAGGTAATGAAGTTATCCTGAGGAGCACTAAATTTTTACATCTGCTCTAAACACAAAACAAGGGAGACCAGTTGTCTTTGTAGTTGGATGCATTTGATATGAAATCAGAACACACTTTTAATTTATCATTTGCAAACATCTTACCCAGTTTTAGGAGCAATTATTACATTTTTTTTTCAAGTTCTGGATTTAAAAAAGATTCTGTATTTTCTTTCTCATGCCTCAATAAATCACTTGGTAAGCACCTGATAAGCAGGCGATCCTTGGAAGTATAGAGTGAGACTCTACTTGTAGTTTAGAGTTTTCAGGAAACCTACACTTAAAACTCAAGTGATCAGCAAGCATTTAGCTTTGTGCCAGGAATTACTAGACAGGACTTTCCTTCTCTTTGATTCATAATCTAAGTTTCCAAATTATAGATAACAGGAGTTGATGCTGAAGATTGAGTCAGATTTAATCAAAAGTGAAGATTAAAGTGTATCTTTCCTGCTGTATCTACTTCATTGAACTTCATTTCACTGCTGTAAGTGATTTGAAATCTATCGGAAAACTAATCAAATTGAGCCATTCTTCAGCAAATCCTTGCTTCTCATGTTGAAAGTGGCTTGCATGCTGATTCCTGACCTGTGCATGAAGCAGCTCTCTGCCAGGAACGTGGCAGTTCTAAGGGTTGTGTGTACCACACATACCTCTGTCTCTGGGACATACGCATCTGGAGATGTTAGAAACAAGTCTCCAAGCCTAAGGAAGACAGTATTCTTTTTATATCATACACTGTAGTGAGAGCACAAAAGGTACCTTCAAAAAAGAAAGCCAAACATTCAATTAAAGTTCATTCAAAAATCATTCATGCTCATTCTCTAGGGAAAAAAGAAACAGTAAGCCAAAACCTAATACTAGTTTCTCTCCATGCTTACTCAGTGATGAGAGTCAGTCATTTACACACAAGCCTGAGTTATTTTAGACACTTTGGCTATGCCACCTGGCCTCTAGCTGCTACTCCAAAAGGGCAGCTACTGTCCCTTTTTGCTTTAGCTTCCTTCCTTTTGTTTAAACCACTTGTAAAAGGCCACCACAGTCCCAACACGTAATGTGGGGGAAAAATATAATTAAAGCCATAAAAGCAAATTATAAATCATATTAGATTCAGCAATGGTGCATTTTACATATCCTCAGTAAACAGCTTCTAACAGAGTGATTTGGCAACAGGTACCCTGTTCTAAATGCTAAAAAAAGAGTGCAATTTAAATTAATGAGGCCTACTTTAGTGAATCCCGAAGAATTAAAACAGTTTAGAGGTGGAAAAGGAATTCTTTTGAAACGGTGGTAAATCCTGCTGGATTACAATGAGTAGTGAACGATTTACAAATGAGCAAATAAAGTAATCTTAATTATAATACTTCCTCTTGCTTCACAGGCTTTCACTAGTTAACTCAAAAGAAGCCATTTCAGGAGTTTACTGAAGTAGGTAAGTGATTACAATATTCACAAATATATATTATATCCAGAATATATATTGTATCATACATATGCATACATATATATACATACGTATATGATATTCGTAGATTTCTTACTCAAAGCCTCTATTTTTCACCTCTTGCAAAAGCTGTGAAGATATCTACCAAACAGTTCCTGACATGGGACTGGTAAAACCAGAAGACAGGTCATGGAGAAGCATTAGTAGCAGGGATTATTCGAAGCCAATTGCAAGATGAAGGAGAAAGAAGAGCTAACAAATGAGAAAGGATGGAAACAAGCTCACAGGAGAGGAGGCAACAGAGCTGTGGTTTTTGTTTTTGTTTTTTTCTGAAGCATATGATTCACAATGTGTCTGAGATTTCAAAACTTCTTTCTAACAAAGATGAACAAGGACCCTCTAGAACATCTCTACAACCGTCAGATTAAGTTCTGTTTCTGGAATATCCTGTCCTGTTGAATTTACTGTAGTGGAGAAACAACTAGCTTAAAATGTTGAATTCATTACAAGGAAAATGAAAATCTAACCTTTTTGTAAGATTTCTCACCTGTAATCTCTGGAGTCTTCATAATATCTCCAGGTAGCTAAACTAGGTGCTTCAGCTTTCTGTTGTATTGTAAATTGTTTTCTTTGTCTTCTCATAGTACAACAGTTTGAAAGAGATGAGACCAAGTGCCTGAGACACATGAACACGAATCACCACGTGCCTCCCTCATTGACATTTCCGTATCACTGGAAGCAAACTTCAGCTTTTCAAGATATTGTTGGAGACACTACTTTAATGTTTTTAGTCTCTTAGCACCTTTGTGGACAGTCCCAGTAGCATTCCCATTTTATGACTCTGGATTCTGTTCACATATAAGCAGGAAAACAGTTACCGATGAAAGAATATTCAGGAAGTCTTTAAAAATTTAACTCCAATACAGTTTAAGTCCTCACAGACTTCGACGAAAGTTGAAGTTTCCCATCTGAATATGCTTTGCTTTTTATGCAAATTAACATTTTTTGAAATATTCATAGTAATACTAGCAAAAGTAATTTTAACTACAGATATACCTCCATAGTTCTGTGAAAATGCCAGTCTACTTAGAAGTGGTTTTGGTAGATTAAACCACTAATTCTTCCAATACATTGAAACTAATCTTAAATGGGAGGGGGGTTAGGCAACACCAAAAACTACAACAACAAAAACCACAATGGAGTAAAAGGAAAGAAGATGAGATGTTCTTCTCACCTTTTTGAAAGCCTAGAAAAAGGTTCTTCTTGACATTTCTTATCATAGGTGAGATGGGGATTTATCCTAGAAAATATGTTTAGCGGTTGCATGCCTTAAGAAAACACTACTTAGAATTACAATCTATAATTGCTTAATCTGATGTTTGCATATAAAAGTCAGTCAAGCATTCAAGCTAACCACAAGAATAATAGTTAAACACATGCAAATATTTCTTTTCAACATCACAAAAATTTCAGAACCCCCTAAAAATTCCAGAGTCAGAAGAACATATTCTAGAGTTTGCAATTAGAACTCATGGTTGGTATGATAATTCCCTCTCATTTGGGCTTTTTCTGCTTCTCACTTACAAGGCAGAGCTAAAATTTCCCATGTTTAATTAACCTGAAAAAAAGAATAACAACAACAAAGTATTAAAACAATAGCATCTAGTCATGCAAGAATCCGGAGTTCTTTTGACTGTTCCAAGCAAAGTTACTATTTTCCTGCACTAATCTCTTGCTTTCTGTCATTAGGTAGACAAATTTGTGTCATTAGATTAAGTATTACCCACTACTAAAGCTAGAGAATATTTTTGTTAAAAAGCTGGTATTTCCTGAGGTATTGATGCCTGTCTGCTCAAATCTGAAATTACAAGTAAATTGGTAATCAGATATAGAGCACACCCACGAACAGACAAGGACTACATTAAACAGCATAAAAATTAATACAACTGAGGCTTAGGACAGAGGAAATAATCGCCAAGGCTAAACCCAAATCAGCCCTAGTCCCTTGAGATCTTCTAGACTGCCCTTTATGGATTAATAGATTGATCAATTAACGTAGTAAAGTCCACTATAACAGTTGCAGTTTTTGTTTGGTTAGTTGATTGCTTTTTGTACATATTTTAAACAAAATTAAATGTTTTAAAAATCTCCAAGAGCACTAGACACCTTACACTCAAACAAGAATACAAGACTTCCCTGTCCCCTCCCTGCCAAGTTTATATGTCAGTCCGAAATACCATGATGAGCTATGCATAAGGGAAAGCCGCCTTCTTACAGATTGCCTCATAGATTCTTCAGGGTATATCTCTCAGCCAAGAGTATCTGCTCCCAACTATCAACTGTCTCATCGCTTCTGTTTGAGCAAGAGATGCAATGTTGCAATTATTTTCTTCAAATGTAATCAGGGCAGGTTTCTCTCAGGCCTGCTCCAATGTTGTACCCATACACATACATTCTCTCACACACACACTAAAGTAGAAAAGTTGAAGGCTCAGCAGGGAAGCTCAGAAGCCTGTCTATGCTCATCCTGCAACCCAAACCCAAAAGGTTTTCAAACACATTTGTTAAGCAGTAGTGAGACTGGCTCTCTCTACCAGTCTGTCTCAACACACTTGCACATGCACACACACGTGATGAATACACATGCTTAAAAAGGGTGGCCAAGAAGTAAAAGTCACTTTCATAAGAGTGTTATGGACTTCAAACTTATTAAGTTATATTTCTCTAGGAATTTACTAAAGATAATCACATGGGCAGAGGTCACCTGCTTATGCTTTATGGCTTCAAATATCCAAGCATTCCTTGATAATCAATAAAATAGAGATCCTATGCTATACAAAGAAAGATGACCAAATACAGGTGACAAGGACAACTATCTTATGACTTTCTTTCACCTCCTCTACCCTACACAACAGACGATCTTCCAACATAAAGGATGCCTTCCTGACAGTGTGCATTCTTTGGCAAAATACCCCTCTCTTTCTAGGGTCAAGATCACACCCGATATTTAAGCCACATGGATATAATTTAAGACACTTCTAATAGGTCAACTTAGTTTTGTGAAATCATAGCAGCATCAGTGCTATTGCTAAAGCTGAAATTGATAACCTCTGGGTAAACATTGAGTATTGACCTTCATATGTATCATTCTTCCCTTTAATACACCCAAGTGTGTCACAAAGTAATGATTAACGCAGCTGTCACAGCAACAGGCAGCTGGGAGAAGCTGACTTGTTTTAAAACAGCAGTCTTAACACAGGCCTCTTATGGTAAAACTACAAGCCTGTCCTTCAGTTCACAGTCAATGAAACTAGGTGCATCGTGGCTAAAGACGATGTGTTGAGCAAAATGTTTGTAAGAGGAGATGGTCATACTTCTTTATGAGCTTTGCTTATTTCAGTAAGAGCACCTTTACACCCTTTGTTTGGGGTCTTCCTCTGCAGATTTCAGAGTGGTTGAAGCCTGACAACGTACAAATATATAGGAAAAGCAGATGAGGAGGTGCCTTAGAGCACTGTCTAAGATAGTATAGCACATTCCAAAATTTCTCTTCCATTCCAAGCTGGAAGTTGCTCAGCATCATTGGCACTTGTTTCAGTTTCAGCAAGACATCGGCCTGCTTTGAAGACTATGAAAACCAGATCAGGCTCAAAATAAGAACGGACAGAGGAAGGACTCCTTATCCACCTGAAAAAGACGCAGCTTCTGTATTAATCAACAGGAAAATGCAAGTTGTTACCACATCTGATAATGTCCTGTAAGCACAACCAATTTGAGAATTGATTCCAAAATAAACCTCTAGATAACTTCTCTACTTGTTTTTTGTTGTTGTTGTTGTTGTTTGTTTGTTTGTTTGTTTAAAGGAACAGTGTGAAAGTTATTTTCATTTGAATCTGTGTAATGCTTATACTATGAAGTGAATAGTAAAGGTGTTCTAGAGTCCTTGGAAGTATTAGAAAATGCATAAGCAATGTGTTACACTCATCACACATAGCTGAAAGTTGAACTTTGAGCCAGAAGTCTTACATTTTGGAAGGCTAAGAAGAGTTTCAGAAGACGAAGCAAGTTCCTCCATCAGCCAGAAGACCCATTATTGCTCCTATTTTCCATACAAAGAAGAGGAAACAGAGTGATGTTATCTGCTGAGACAGAGAGAATATCAGAGCATGCTGCTAATGACAATTGGGATGTGACAGCAACTCTGAGTCTCCACATGGCTAACAGACAGCCTTCGTGGGCATTTAAGTTTGTAATTTATTTGGCAGGGAAGAAATTTGAAGTGCACCAAAGCTGCATAATAAAACACAACTACTTAAATCTTCATAAGAAAAGCAACTGAATTAGGAATTAGTAGATGAACTAGGTTAACAGAGTGTATCCTGTAAGATTCAATTGCTTGAATCCCTTCAAAGTGAAGTGAACAGCACCCTATAATGTTACGCAGACAATGCAAAAATCATGAAGCTTTAGAAGAGAGAATATCTACTGCACTAACAATTGAGTATATTTTTCATACAACTGAGAACAAAAATAAAAAGGATCACAGCTGTCCTTTCTTCTTATCTAACTCTAGGCCGCAGGAAAGGAACTTTTTAAAGTATAAAAAAGAATCTTCTCTTGATCTCTAATCTTCAAGGAGATAAACAATGGTATTTATTGACATAGCATGAATCATCGTCCTTAGTACAGGTAATGAACAAACAGAGAAGTCTGTCATTTTCCAGCTAGTCATTTCTGGTAATGACACAAATGTTTAGCTTGCCAGGACAATCATTATGGAGAGAGTGAAGAACAATATGGTTATTGTATCTGAATAACTATCTACCTTGATACTGTCGAGTCAAAGCAAAACTGACGTCAAAGGGAATACAAGGTGAGTAATTTACAAAATCTCCTTAACTAAAACTCCAATCCTCCAGTTAATGTTTTGTGTCCTGGTTTAATTAACACATTTACCTTCTCCTGAATCTCCTTGATTCCTGGGACACTTACTAGCTAGCATGTTTCTACAAATCACCAGCAAATTATTGTGGACATCTGACTGCTTTACTCAAGCATGATTACAAAGGAAGAAATTATGGGAGCATGTAACTTTACATCTTATACTTAACTAAGGACATATTGAAAGGTACTTTCAACTAAAGTTTGGAACAGTTTTTCCTCTGTTTAATCTACTATGGATGTAATTGCCATGCTGATGTAACGGAATCTGCTCACTATGCCTTCAACGTTTTAAGGACAACTGGAATACAACATCCTGTTCCACAGGAAATGCCATACAGCTACCACGGTTTCTGCCTAATCTTAATTCCAACAGACCAAGGCACGTTAGTATTTACTATTCCTTTTTTATTTGCGTCAGGTGCTTTCCAAAACACTTCAAAACCAAACACTGAATCATCAAGCTAAACTTTAAATTCAAGCATACCTATGTACTAAAATAGTTTAGTGATTATTTGCAGACCTTAACAGAGCCAGACTCTCAGAAAACCAGCCTGCTCTGTCTGCCCTCTGCTGGCCTTTGTGTATTTCAGTTTTCGCTTCAAAATGAGTCCTTGACTGAAATAACAGAAAATAGCAGCACCATCAAGGCTTATATCAAGCAAATCCACCAGTAAGGAATACATCAGTATCACAGAACTGTAGGAGTTGGAAGGGTCCTCGAAAGATCATCGGGTCCAACCCCCCTGCCAAAGCAGGTTCCTCAGAGCAGGCTGCCCAGGTAGGCATCCAGACAGGCCTTGAATATCTCCAGAGACGGAGACTCCACAACCTCCCTGGGCAGCCTGTTCCAGTGCTCCGTCACCCTCACTGTGAAGAAGTTCTTTCGCATGTCAGTGCGGAACTTCCTGTGCTCTAACTTACAGCCATTGCCCCTTGTCCTATCCCCACAAACCACTGAGAAGAGGTTGGCTACATCCTTCTGTCCCCCACCCCTCAGATATGTATATACACTGAGGAGATCCCCTCTCACTCTTCTCTTCTCCAGGCTGAACAGACCCAGGTCTCTCAGCCTTTCTTCATAGGGAAGATGCTCCAGGCCCCGCATCATCTTTGTGGCCCTCCCCTGGACTCTTTCCAGGAGATCCCTGTCTTTCTTGTACTGGGGAGCCCAGAACTGGACACAGTACTCCAGGTGAGGCCTGACCAGGGCAGAGTAGAGGGGGAGGATCACCTCCCTTGACCTGCTGGCCACGCTCCTTTTAATGCACGCCAGGATCCCATTAGCCCTCTTAGCCACAGGGGCACAGTGCTGGCTCATGGTCAACCTGTCATCCACCAGGACCCCTAGGTCCTTCTCCTCAGAGCTCCTCTCCAGCAGGTCATCCCTGTCAGGGTGATCCAGCTCCTGGAAAACAAATCACAATTTTATATGGGTTTTAAAAAAAAGGTTCTTATGTTATTTTCTTGGGACAACCTGACCCTAGTGTGGGAGAAGTCCGGTCGAGGCCCTTTCACTCGGCAGTCAATACCCATAGGGGTTGCCTCCCTCGGTAGACCATACACACCGCAGTGGAGGGTCCTGCCCCAGTCTTGCCTTCTTCCTTTCCTCCTTTTACGCTTGTCCCCTTTATTTGGCATCCTTAATTCATGCAGAGCCTCGTTGCCAGAATATTAGTTCTTCCTTAGCTTGAGTTTCAGTTCCCCAGGAGCGGACTCAACCTTCCAAGTTTTAGTAGTTACTGGTCCTTTTATTCTGGATGCATGGGTCCAACCCCTTTCTGCTGTGAGGTAGTAAGTAAAAAAAGGTACGATCCCTCCCGTCGGGGGTTCAATGATTCTTCCCTCCAGGTGTTTATTAAGACCTTGTCTCCTGGTTGTATTTTACAAATAGCAAATCCTAAAGGTGGTGTTTGAGCCATCATTCCAATTTCTCTTAGCTCTTGTAATCTCCTTCCAATAATAATTATACATTTCTAGATGCTATGATCCTCAACTACATTGTTCCCTAGAGGTATCCCTTGAGAAAAAGGCATACCACATAACATTTCATATGGTGATAATCCAGTCTCACTGTATGGTTTAGTTCTTATGTTTAAAAGTGCCAATGGTAAGCATCTCGTCCAGGGCATTTCTTGTTTTATTGCTTGATTCAGTCTTTCTACTTTCCCTGAACTTTGTGGGTGCCGCGGAGTATGGTATTCCCACTGAATACCTAATGATTGACATAATAATTTTATTATTTTAGAAGTAAAGCGTGTGCCCTGATCAGAATCAATGTACTGGATAATCCCATATCCAGGTATCAGGTGTTCTAATAGAATTTTTACCACCATTTGTGCCATAGCTCGTGCTATGGGATAAGCTTCTACCCATTGTGTTAAATGATCTAGTAATACCAATAGATATTTTATCCTCCCTCCCTTGGGCAATTCAGTGAAATCAACTTGTACTTTCTCAAAAGGTCTATAAGCTGTTTTTTTTTTTTTTTTTCCCCTCCCTTGGCTGCTTGTTGAAACACTTTATCTTCTGACAAGTTAAGCAACGTTGTGTAATTTGCTTTACAAACAAAAAAACACAATGCAACCAAATTGTTTTAGTAAATGATCACTTAATGCCTTTTACCCCAATGTGTTTGTGCATGCAAATGTCCCAATATTTGCTTCGCATAAGCTTTTGGCAATATCTCTCGCCTGTCTGGCAGTGTCCATTTTTCTTGTTCTAATTTAGCCGCTATTTTCTCCAGTTTCGTTTGTTTTGTTTTGTTTTCCATTGCATTTCATAGTCTGTCCAAAAATTCCATAGGGGTTTCTTTTGGATCTTGTTGGAACAGATTCTCAATTCCCAATTTAACCAGATTTTGATATTTACCGTTCATTATTTCCAGGGTGACTATAGTCTCAGTGTGGGGTCTGTAAGGGGAATGCAATTGTCAACAGCTCCCTGAGCGGTCCCATTGGCAATCTGAGCTCACTCATAAACTCAGGTTGTTTTAAGGGTTAACTGCTTTCCTGTTTCCATGACAACTCTCTCGGACCCATCATGGTCCCTCTGCCCCAAAGGGCTCACACCAGTGATTTTGAGATCACAGCCTCCTGTTGAGGCAGAACTATTAATATTCCTACATCTTCTTTCCCTGCTCATTCAACTTCAAACAGCTCTGTAAAATCCTACATGCCACACCTCTAACACCTTCATCAACTCTTTTAACCAATCCTTTATCTTTCTCCAGCCTGTACTTTTCTCATGCCAACACCAAAAGCTCAGTCAGGGGCCAACTTAATTCCACTCCTTTTCCCTCTAAGATGCTGGAACAACATATCAGTATAACACATTTCATCCTATTTTCCTTTTCTCCTTAAAAACAACAATAATTGCAAGGTAGTGTTATAGTCGATTGATCCATAAAGTGGCCATTTAGTTTATATAGTGGCCACCATTGATTGCAATACTTAGTGAAAGTCCTCTTGCTTTCTGTGCCCCCAGTTCTAACAATATCCTTCGAATGTGCCAATATGCACCCAAGGAGGCTTTCTTTAAAACGTCTTTGTTTTGGATATTACTCATTTCCTTGATTTCCCATTCCCTTTTATTTGTTTATTTATTTATTTATTACTATTCTTTACTAGTTACTGTCCTTTGTTTCAATTTCCATGCAAACCTTTTTACTGCAGGTTTTGACTATCTTTTCCTAATCTTCTTCCCAAATGTCCCAATTCTCTGGGATTAAACGCTTCTTCCCACATACAAAATTTACTATTTCAGATTATTAATGAGCCCGCTTGATTCCTGTTTTTGAAGAACAATTCAGTGAACAGCTACACTTACAAAGATGAACATGCTGATTAACACACCTTCCTGGAAAGGAACTTTGCATAAATATGCACATTTCTGACAATTTACGAAATAAAAGTTTATATTATATAATATATATGTTATTTACAATATTACATATATTAAAATATATAAAACATATAGATTTAAAAGTGCACCTCACATGCTTGGCTGTCAAACTACAAAATTGATTTTTCATGCTACATTAACATAGGCAGAAAGGGAACTAGTAGGAGACACTGAAGATTTTCTCTATATCCTTTAAAGCTACTGCATCACTGCTCATTTTTATTGCATTCTGAAACCACTGTTAGGCTTATCTTATATATCCTCCTTCTGCAAGAACAGTATCTACTCATCTGAATTAAACAATATCTACTCATCTGAATTAAAGAAAAAAAAATCACGTTATAGGTTTCTAACACTTAACCCAGAATGCAAAGACTAACAGAACAACTTTCGAGATACTCAGAAAGGGTTACTGAAACACTGACTGGACCATCATTTTTTTAACCAATATTTGGAAACTTCAAGGATAATGAAAAAAATATTATCGTAATAACCATATAAAAGAACACACACTGAACAACCATATTTTTTTCTCTCTTTTCTGCAAATGCATTATGCTTTGTGACTATTCACATGATATTCAATCCTTATTTAAATTAAAAAAAAAAAAAAAAAGGAAATACAAACAGCAGGCCACAAACAGATATTGGAGTATAAAAAATTGTAGGTGCTAGGATACTTCCTGAATTATACTGCTCGACTTCTCATTAGCAACCTTCAGGGTGAAGGAAATTAACAGCTACTTATTTCTAATCCATGGTGCACTATCGCACTAAATGAATATTTCTCCTGATCTAGAAAACTTAGAAAATTGAGAGCATGTGGACAGCTAGTTAGATTTTACTAGTTGTGCTGCAGTACTTCATAAGTAGTAGTGAAGGATATTATATTTCAAAGCCTTGGGAAACAACAACAACAAAACAAACAAACAAAACCAAAAACCCAAACATTCTCTAAATAGCATGAACCAGACTTGCCAGTTAAGAAGGCAAGTCAGACATGATCAGGAGACTTAAAACAGCCCTTCCACAACATGGAAGTGGTACAGACAGTATAGAATGTAAATTGAAATATTACTTATATTTCATATATATGAAATATTTATATATTTGAAATATTACCTATATTTTACCTATATATGGGGAAGACAACAAATTACTCAGATTACTAGAGTAACTGGTACAATGATGTAGTAAATGACTTTGCAGCAATAAAAATAATCAAATATAAGCTCAACTTGAACAGGTAACTGAACAGTAGTTTTATGTGGCCTAATACTATGAAGGATAGTCCCTTGCTGCACTACACTATTGGGAATCACTCTCATACAATTAAGCAGTTCCATTAAAATTCCCCATGTGGTCTGACTCCTGAAAGTTTCCTTCTAAAAACAGTACCTGACTTGCATCGATGATGAACATCAATTTACAATCCTGAATTGAAGTTGTATAGGCTCACCCAACTGTGTGTGACAGAGGAACATTGCGTGCATTAACCTGCAGATAAAATCACCACTACTACCTGTTTCAAAGAATTCTTGCTCTTTATCTAGCACTACCACAACGTACAGCTTTGTGGCTTACAGGAAGGGGCAGCTTGGCTGAATACCAGAAGAGAGCCCGTCTGTCACAACTATCCATCTCCTGCATTCTTTTCTAGCTTACACAGCTGTATGGACTATATTGGGTCTGGAAACAGATCAAAGAGGGTTTTGAACACATAGATACAGCATTCCTTGATAAGCAAGTCAATGACGTGCATCACTATGAATTCTTAAGACAATACTTCTACATTTTAGGAACGGGGAAAAAAATCATTACCAAAAATGCAGACCCAAGAAACCTGGATAAAAACAGAGATAAAAACAGTAAGGTTTAAAAAAAAAAGTCATAAAAAGACCTACTAGGTTCAGTAACCTATACATCTTGTAGCGTTACATAGCCGACTTGCTTGCTTGCTTGCAGAGAATTGCCTCATTGGCAAGAGGATTCCTCGTAATATGGCTTCCTTCTGCCACAAGACAACATTGGGATGTTTTTCAGCCACCAAAGCTTTTAAAATTGTTGATGGTCATGTTTGCTGCATCAACCGCTCCTTTTCCTATTCAATGTTTTTAGTTCCATGATACAGCTTTTCACATTCTTGAAGTGGAGTGGTTGTAAAAGATACTGGGTTGTCCGTTAGTGACACCAAAATTCTTCTCAATAAAAACAAGAACAAAACCATCTGTAGCAGAAATGGCGGAAATTAAGATTCCCAGTGGCTGCTCGAGATCTTCCCCATTTTTGGCAAAGCGTACAAATAAATTGTTTTCCTTACTGTGATTAACCCATGACTGAAACTGCTAGGATAATCTAAGTCGTACTGATAGGGGCTTGCAATGTGCACATCAGATGGAAAAATCACCAACCCACCAATCCAATTGACACTGGTCATTGTGCAACCATTATTCACTATATTTTATTTCCATTGTTCTCAAGGAAATTACAATAACGTACAAAATTGTCAATGGACTATAGAGAGGAAAAAAGTATTTATGGTCTGAAATAATCCATGAAAAGACTAAAAAACTAGAAATCATGAGAAAAAAAGTATTTTTTTTTTTTTAAAAAAAACTACACTTTACCACAATAAAACTAATCAGATGACTAATCCTAAAGGCAACTTTATTTTCTTTCACTTTATGGCACAGCCTATTGCATAGGAAATACATGTCAAACATGACACTTAGTTCTAGTGATTCTGCATTAGTTTCCTCCAAATGCAGCTTCGTTCTGAAACGACCAACTTTTAACGCAATCAAAATGCAACTTGCTGTACAATGCAGCAAGCATGTATATACATAAAAGCACGTCTTCTGGCTTTGTCACATTTGTAGCTTGCTGATCAACTTTCAAATTGTTGTATCCAATGGGACTAATCTCTAGTTGAAATGAAAGCGTCTATTTTGTATGAATGGAGATGAACATGTGGACAAAAGGATTAGGTGGAAATAGGTACATTCACTTTATGATGAGTGAGGTTCTTTCAGGGATAATGTTCAGGAAGACTAATTCCAGAAATTTTATTTTAGAAGGAATATACTGCAGGAAAAAAAATATCCCCCAAAGTCAGAGATTCTGAGAGCATAATTAGGGATTGAAACCTTATACATATAGTTCATGACTTGTCAAATATCACTACCTCCTAGTTTTCCTAACTACACCTATTTCAAGGAAAATTACACGAAGAAAGCAATTTTCAACAAGCATATCTTAAAGGCAGATATTTCTAGCAGACAACAGCACAGTCATCAAATTTTGTTAGTGTTTTAATTTTTCAAGAAGTTAGATGTGTTCCTGGTATTTCTTGCTTAGGCATGTAAAAGAGATGTTAACAGATGTCATTTTAAAGAACAAAAAAATATTTTTTTATACATGAAATTTTTACTTCAACTCACTTCAATGTAAGCATAACTGTTTCATATGCTTCGCTTTCAGGTCCATTTTAGTCATTGCACCCATTCCCAAACCCCTGAATTCTCCACAAGGATATTCATTGTTTTATTTTAATCCATATGAGCAACTTGTTATCTCCTTTCTGCTAAAACTGGAGATGTTACCAAATGGTACAATTACTTGAGGAGAGGCATTTTGGGGGGATCTGACTGCTATCACAACATGATTGAATTCCAGAGAGGTCCTTCACAGGCTGATGACTGACACATCACATACACCCGTTTTTCTGTCAGATGACAATGTTGGCAAGCAGGCAGATGTAAAGAAAACAGATTTAAAGCTTTTTTTTTTTTTTTTGCCTTGCTGAGAGACTGTCTACAGGTTAATTAAACCCTTGCAACTTTTGAACTGAGACAAAGTTGCATTGTCTTAACACGTGTTTTTGTTAAATAGGGCAAGTATTAGCACCCACATGAATGAGACAGCATGATAAACGCAGTACATACATGCAACACTGCCTTTCAGTGGCTCCAAAAAAGCATTAAGTAAAATACGCTGACTTGCCCTACATGAACACAAGCAGACACACAAAACTGTAGTTTTGTATACAAATCAGTCCTGCAGCCCTTCGCTAGTCAGCCAGAGAGCAGAATACACAAAAGCTGGGGAGCACACACCAACACTACAGAGTACCTAGTACAATAATGAAGATCACTATATCAGATTTTAAATTAGCCTGCAAGCTCTCTTGTGCAGATGAAGCTACACAAACAAATGAAAACCCATTAAGTACAATATATTATGGTTCCCTCCTACCCCCTTGAAAGTACTATGGGATTAATGGACAACTTCGGAACAATTCATTGTCAACCACTTAAAACTGCAAATAAATCTTAAGCATGCAATTGTGAATATAATTTGAGTGAAAAACTCCTGGAAATACCAGTAGATTACCATTATTATGCAGTAAACTGAACTTAGTAATCAAAAGTTTGTTCTCTCTTTACTATTAATAGTTCATGAAATTTATTGTATTAGAACAAGCTAAAGAAAAAAATTCATGTAATGAAAACTGTCAGCTCAGTATTAACTAAAAGTTTTTCTCTTGTAATTAGCTTTTTTAATTATGGCAGCAGCTCAACAAGTCCTCTGAATCTTAAAAAAATAGTACTTATAAAAAACAGAATTAGACAAACTCACAGAATTTAACTGAATTTATATTTTCACCAGGTCCTGTAAACACAATTGTTTCATTACAAATTCATACTTTAGATGGTTCCGTACTCACATGCATTCATTCAAACTCATGGTTCCATATTCATATACAGGAAGAAAGAACAATCAATTTCTGTTCATTTAAACTTCAGGCCACTGTATTTATGACTCCAAGTTACAACTCAATATACAACAAATGACGAAACACTTTGTATTTACATCTTTAATCTATCCATTCAAAGAACAACATTAATGAGCAAATTTTCAGCGTCCAAAATTTGACCTTTCATACTGCAACCTCCGTGAGATTACAAGATCAACGCCGGTTTTTCATCATAATATTGCTGGCACAAATAACTTGTTTTTTAAGCTAACCACAGCGTATCACAGAACACCTGAAAACAGTATTTTTCATATTTTGTGGTACTGAAGAAGAAATTTGAGTTGGGGCAACTTTAAAGGCAATAATTATTTTTTTTTCAAATTAAGCCAAAGAAAACCTGTTACTAATTAATTGTTGCTGTTTTCCCCAGATATTGGTAACACCAAAAACTGAAATCAATGAAGCTGAGATTTCATCATTTCCAGAGAATACATTTATTCTGATAAGTTCATTGTCATCTCTGCACTTATATCAATGTATGAGAAGCAGTAGTCTTAAAATACTGAAAAAAAATACATACAGCTACACTTTAAGTGTGCTTTAATGAGATCAGCTGTGGATTCTATCAGAATTATTTCATATTTTGAAAATTATTTTTTTTCTGATCTAATTTAGTCTCTCATATTTTTCCCTCAGTGCAGCTTGTAGTAAAGAATGAAACCAAACCCAAACTTTTTTTGGTTCATAACTTTTTTGCTCTTATGAAGAAATCCACTGAAATTTCTGTCAAAAGCTTATGAACCTTACTTCAATCTTATTTGAATGGTGCAACATGCCAGACAAGTATTTTTCAAACTGAAAAACTACTGCAGCAATACAAATTAGCTACTCCACAACCTCAGTATTGATCAGGAGTCATAGCAGCAAATTGCTCAATTCTAACTCTTACTTACCTCGCTATAAAAGCTAGATATTTAGCCCTTAAATGAAGCACCTCACTCCCTTTTAAGTTTTGTTAATTTTTCTTAAGCTTTCTTTTACAGAGATTGACTTTTCTATGCAAACATTATGCCCTATTAGTACTAAATGTTTAAAGAAATGTGGTATGTTAACTTTGAAGTCTTTTAGCTTTACAATATAAAACCTGATCATTGGAAATGACTAAAAGCATGAAAATTAACAGTTTTTCATATTAATTCAATAAATTAAATATTTTAACTGTCTATCTCACACTATTTACTCCCCCGTAATGTACTTGGGGGTGTTTTTCTGTAACAGAGCTCTCTGTGTTGTCAAAACAGGAAGCAATCTTCACCGAGTTTAACACAAGGCAAGTCGTATTGGATTCTCAAGGTTTGCTTTCAAGGTCTCCAGAAACTTTGAAGCCAGTTCATCATCTACCACACGACCATCACTTGAAAGAGTCACTGTCATGAGTTGATGCTGCTTAAGCTTCTCATTCCCTTCTTCATCTTCCACAACCTTGAGCTCTGGTCTTGCTCGACCCACAGCTAGGATGCAGGCCTGTGGAGGGTTTATGACTGCAGTGAAATCGTTGATGCCAAACATGCCCAGATTGGAGATACTAAATGAAAAAGAAAAAGAGTTATCAGTAATGTCAGAAATGACATCTCCCAGAAGAAGGAAATCTATATCCAATGACTACTGTGAGCTAATTTCTTTCTGAAGGCCAAACCCATTAACTCACTTAAAAGATCTGAACTGGATTCCAGTTGGGCATATTCAGACTCTGAGACCTGGTATTTTTTAATTATAACTAATGCACCTTTTTCTACATTCCTATTTCCTTAAAGGAATTCATCATTACATTACACACAATGATCACAAAAGCAGTTGCAACACTTTTGCTGCCTGGGAATACACAGTAACATCCAAAGTTCCTTTGGGCAGATAAACGCATCATCTCCAAGGAAGCACTGGATGTATTGCAAGATACCAGAAAGCTACCAAAATAAAACAACTCGTGTAATTTCTGTCACTGGAGCTCTAATCACAGATTAAAAAAATAAAAAGTTACCTTCCCTTGAAATAAAAACCATAGTGTTTTAATTGTAAGTGTGCCTACTATCTTCTGTAAATTGCTGGGCAAAAGCTGACCAAGATAAGGAAATTCATCTAACATAACACGAGAACTACACAGTCCCCATACGATAACATTTTAAAATGATATTTGTGGGCCCATAATGGCCTGTTTCAAAACCAAAGTCTTCAGAGTACAGAAAAAAAGCAAGAATAGAAAGACAAATGCTAAAAATGCAGAAAGCAGACAAGCTTACTTTCATAAATAGGGCTGACAGGAAAGTGATACCTTCACATAAAACTTTGCCTATGCCTATTCTAAGCCAAATGACTTTTAGATCAAACCTCACAACTTCAAGTTACAATAGCCAAACAGTATGTTTTGGGCATTTAGATTGTCACTCAGGCACAAAAAAGCCTTATCATGCCTTTCTTTCTTGAAAACTTTGTATCACCAGCTGGGAAGTGGTACATAAGGGAGGGCTGGACTCTTGTGATAGACTGTTCACCAGAGAAAGTTGGCCTACCATCTTCTCCTTCTGTTAAAGTTATTGCAAGAAGTAGAAAAAGATAATCTGTTATTCTCTCATGGGCCATTTGTGTTTAAGACGACATCTGTGCCTCCACTGTTGCATTTACATAATCTTTTTATACTGAAAGGTCTACAAATTTTATGACCACTCCTCCAGCATGACACAGCCACTTATTCAAGACAGGTGCAGCCCAGGCACACTCTGCTATATATTACGGCAGTATTTCTGCAGAAGTGTCATTTTTAGCAGTATTCTCATCACAATTATTCCATTATAGAAGATAAGAATATTAATGATGATCATTCAGACTTAACTTTTAAAAACTGACAAGAAGAGAGGTAAGCTAAAATTTGTTTAACAAAAAATGTTCCTTGATGATGCTGTTTGGCAAGAAACACTTCACTTAATAGATTTTAAATAGTAGCATATATTTAATATTTTTTCTATGTGCTCTGGTTTTGATGTTTCAGTTAAAAGCAAATTGCAAGAGTTAACGCCACAACTTTGCTATAGCACTTGTTACCCCTCTAGAGACATTCTTCTAGATGAATTCAGACAAACAGTGCATTACTGTATGCTGTGCTACCTCTGACAAAGAACTCTTTTTTAAATATTTATTTCAAAAACTATTATCTATGCATTCTCCTAATTAAACGATGAAATTAAAGAAAAACAAGCAAAAAACCTTTCTTCTGCATATTCAGAAAACTAGGTGCAAATACAAAAGTCGGAACAGTCTTGCTGTGAAAAACCTGAATTCATCAAAAAAAATGCAAAGCCTGAATCATAGCAGGCTCTGATGAAATAGACTTGTTGAAAACCAGTACCAAGATAATACTTTCCCCCAATACATGACATTCAGCCTAGGCTTAGCCCTCATAATTATCCCAACGGAGTTTCATCCTAAATGAATCAAGATTTTAAAAGGTAACACATTAATACATAGTAAAATGGCTGAGAATATAGCAGTTCTGAAACCACATTGCTTATATTAAACACTGCTAGAGAATGTTACCTAAAAGATCCTCCCTGGTACTCTTCAGGTAGCAGCTTTCCATCTCTTGCTTTCTTTGCTAGAGCCTAAGGAAAATGAAATAAGAAAAAGATGAGGAACAAGGAAAAGAAATTAAAGTGTCATAAGAGTTTCATTCTTTTTACTTCAGAGAGACGTTGTAAGTACCATACAGCCACAAGAAAAAGTCGTCTGCTTTTGGATTGTGGCGAGCATTTCAGCAATGTTGTTGTTGTAGGTGCAATGATTTGACAAAAAAGACTAGGACACAAAGCTTCATTTTCCCAACTATATCGCCTATCGCAATAAAAGCTGTTCTCTCACCTTATGAGCTTTGCTTCAGTTTTCACAATGGAACCACAGTGTTTTTATATAACAGGAATATCTAGCAATATACTGATGAGACAAATTCACTGTATTCCCCTCAACATATTTGATTTAAGAAATTGTCAGGTATCACTACAGAACTTGCTATTAGATGGAGAGAAAATATAATTCTTTCAGCTAAGTATTCAGCCATGTTCAACGTAAGTAAGACTGCCCTTCCTGCAACCTCCATTTCATCCACGAGACTTTTCTGCTTCTAAACACAAGAGAAGAAACTCTCCAGAAGAGTTTTCTTTAAAACATGACCCAAGAAATTCATACCATGTTCTAAGGTGATAAGATCATAAAGTACACTATGCATCCCCTAGCATGTTTCTAGCTTAGTGGACTCCTTAGACAGAAGCAGTCTAAGGTCTACCAGTCTACCAGATGAGTAATTCTTGCAGTACGCGTCACATCAGGAGGAGAGGACTGTGTGGAGCCCAAAAGAAATGGCACCCATAAGTGGATCACGAGCCAGTTACTCAAGCCAGCAAGCTGTTCCTACACTTTTGTACAGAATCCAATGGAAAAGTGGTGACTGGAAATGTGCAGGGTGACTTCTCCATTAGTAGCAATCTTTTCCAAAGTTGGAGCTCTTCAAATGACAGCATAGACTGACGTGGGAATATACAGAACAGGCAAATCTATCCTATTCACATGCGATACATTTAGTGCTTTTGGCGTGTAATATACTTATTCTGCAGGTGGAAAAGTGCATGGAGAATGTCAAGTTGTGACCGTTCCAGCATTACAACAGCATAATACTAAAATAAACTCTTCCAAAAGCACAGTCAGAGAAGTAGGTTCAGATCTCAGTTACTGGGGAAGACTGATAAAAGCAACAGTCTCTGCATTTTCCTCCTTCTGTGCAAAATAACAACAATTAGAGTTTCCAAGCATTTAATTATGTTAGGGAAATACAAGTGGAAGTGAATGGAAAAAAAAGAGCCTGATTATCACCTCACAAAAAAAAAGTAATATATCACATCTATGAAACTTTGTTGGAGAAAAAGATTCCAGGAATCCCCTCTGTTTTCTAGGAATTTTCTACTTCCTTTTTAAGAGTTCTTTGATTCTATGTTCTATGATTTTTTCTACATTCTTTCTAGGAATCACCCTTCTTTCCAGGAATTTACCTTTTTGCCCCACATACCCTCTTTTTTTTTTTTTTTTTTTTAATAAAAAAGCCTGATTTCTGGGAATCGTTCCCTCTCCATTCCACAGATTTTCTACATGCTTTCCATGGATATCCTATCAAGTGCTCTCCAGGAGTATCTGTGTTTTCTAGAGACTTTTAAAGTGCTCTTTAGGAACCCTCTCTCCCACAGATGTGCTTTCCAAGAATCACATATACTTTCTATGAATAGCACCATCCCAAGAGGTCATTTCTATGAACCCTCATTGCCCTTTTTTCAAGGAATTCTTCCCCACAATGAATTTCAAAGAAATTCCTCTCTGCTCTCCAGTTTTCCAACTGCTTTCCAGGCATTTTCCACAGGATTTTTAGGAGTCCTCCTCCCTTCCCCCAGTGGGCTTTCTAGGAATTTTCCATGCCATTTCCAAGACCCCTCTCTTCTGTCAACATGATTTTTTTTTCCAGAAAAAACCTTCCCCTTCTGCTGTTTATGGATTTTCCATGTTTTCTCAAAAATCCTAGATGTTTTCCAAGGATATACAGAAATGTTTTCCTAGTCTCCAAAACAAGCTCTGAAGAAAACATTGTCCATCTACCCAGGTAAAAACTACACTGAACTAAAGCACTCCTACAAAAACCCTGGGAAACAGCATTATCTAGTTAATTCTTTTATCACTAGAACTACTAGCCTGATCAAACAAGAGTTTTCTATCCCAGTGCTGCAAAACTGTAATAATTCCAGGTGTCTACAAACATCGTGTGTTTTTTGGTGTGGTGGTTACCTGAATATTCTCAAAATATAAATAAAATATAAACCAAAATATAAACCAAAAATAAACCCATGCTCACCCATGCCAAGTTGCCTTTAGTCAACTAAATTGAATCAGTGACTTCATAAAAGCATGATATATATATCTATTTGTATATATTCACTTCTTTTCAGCAGGCAATCCCTATTGAATTACTAAATAGTTTGGTTTTCCCTTAAAAGTTAGTCTGAAGCACTAGTGCTAGGCAATGGAAACTTAACTGATAAAGTAGTACATAAAACAGAATTTAAATACAATCTACCTTAAAATCTCAGCAATTCCAATGGGACATCCTCTTTAAAATAAAGACTAAAAAAGGTATTGCTGTTCTACTATGACTAGCAAGAAAAGCTTTTTATATACACAAAAGTGTTGTTTAGATGTCAACTTAAAAGTAATATGTTAACAAATAAAAATGAAATAACCATGAAGACATCTTGTTACCAATTACTTCAATGTTTTTAAAACTACAGGTACAAAAAAAAAGTTATAATTGCTTTTATGTAATGAACAGTGATTTTTTTTTAAATGAGCTTATAAGCAAGGTACGTACAACTATTTTTTTTTTTAAATAACCTTTGTTAGTTATGAAAGGCAGTTCAGTTTTCTCCAGCGAGGCTTGATCCTCAACAGCAAACATGGAAGAAACTCTGACTGTGAACTTAACTGTGGATGCAATTATTCTGTTTATTTAAAATCTGCGTTTCTACAGCATTTCCCTACAGAGAGCTTCATAAGCATTAATGTAATAATCATTGAAATTCCTTCTAAGGTGTTCATACCTTTGTTTTTACCAATGTACATCTGTACAATGTCTGGAAATTATAAAACAACTATTATACTTGCCACTGGATCCAACAGAGATCAGCGATATAACAGCTCCTAGTGGAATAATACTACTTCATACTATGTATGAGAAGTTATATTACAGCACAAAAAGGGATTAATTCATGTCGCAACTATAACTACTAACCAATTCATTATCTGTGCCAAAGTTTATCCAAGCTAGTTTATCCTCCACCCACATGCAAACAAAAAGAAGTCAATTCCATCATAGTTTCCACTTATGACAGTTGCTTTTATCAGTTTTAACCAAGTGAAATAAACAGACTGCTTAATTCTATTGATGGATATTTTCCACAAGAAATAAAATCTTGGCACATCTTCTTGAACCATTTTGTGAGACAAACCCAACCAGTAGATGGACAGTAACATCCATGACACTGCTGGTCAAGGTAAACAGCTGTCTTCCCTATGTACATTTCTAAACAGCTTCCAGGCAAGGATCATAAAACGGCCACAGTAGTCCAACAACTTGCAATGCCTTCAGCTTAAAACTAAACAGCAAGAAGCTTAAGGAAATCTCCTTCTTATGAATCAACCACTAAAGTAATTCAAGCTTAGACCAAGTTTTAAAAACTATGACACATTTTCTATGAATTTAAAAGTTAAATGAATACATTTAACTTTATTTTAGGCTTTTCTTCATCTCTAAATAATTATTGAACTAGGAGTTAATAGCCACAGGAATTGTGTTCACAAAATAGAGTCTGTATGAGCATGATACATATGTGCAATTGCATTACTCAAGTGATGAAAATATGGTACTAGGATGCACATGACCTGGAAAAAAGTTAGATTTAACATGCAACAGGAGACGCGTAGGCAACTTTCACAAAGAAAACAGCTGCCAAAATACAGGAAAACTGGTGGAGAAACAGATACAGTTTCATAGTTTGTACCTTGAGAGCACGTGCTTGTGTGAGGGGTACATATTTGTTTCAATAATTCAGTGAAGTTGAGGAGCAAAATTTTGTTGGCGTGGATACCTGCAATCTGTCTGACTCAATGGCTTTTGTACAGAGTAGTTGTGAGCTATGTTACACACATTCCATTTGAAATGAAAGGGAAATTGAAATGCTTACTTTATCATAGCCTATTAAACATAATGCACGAGTACGCTTTAATTGTGGGAGCTGTGGAACACAATTTTTGGTAAGAAAGGTTTGCAATACTGTGTCACAGTATTAACATATTGGGGATGAAAACTGAAGCATATCCTATATTTCACTTCTAATAATGTTTTCCTTCTTGCCATTCTACCACTAATCACAAAGTAATTGAACAATCTCAGCTGACCTTCCTCATTGGCTGGCTAGAATATTAGTGAAATGATTTACTCTCACAACATGTGGAACATGAAACAAGTAATACTAACCAGAAAATCTAAAAGACATCTTATTCAGAACATTTTGTGTGATGACAAGTCTTTTTTTTGTTACAACTCTGTTAGTTGTTCCCTTCTGCTTATGCAGACTATCATGATTTCTGTAGTTTTCAGTAAAAGACAAAAATTTATAAAGAATAGCTTCTGTCTTGTTTTAGGACACTTTCATGCCCTAGCAGCTACCTTCACTATATTCTCCAGATACTGCAAGCCTTACATTAGCACACATTAAATGACAAAGAAAAGCTCAGGTTAGAGCATTTCATCATTCATTGTGTTTTTGCCTGCCACAAAACACTTCCACTATGGCTGGCGAAAAATTGCCATGGATTCAAGTCACCAATTGGCACCTGGCCTATGCACACCATACTGCTTGTTTGTAAGAGGAGTTTAATGTTTCCTTTGGGGTGACATTCTCAGTATGAGAAGTTGCAGAAAGTAATAAGTGCCATAATGTAACTACACAGAATGTAACATGAGCAGCTACAAACACATTTCTGGGAAAGGTAGGAAAACAAAACACAATCTCAAAACTAAAATTGAAAATACTACAGAAATCAATATTACCTCATAAGAATTAGAGAAATACATTGATGGCATCAAAATGCAGAAGTCTGTACAGTTTTATTTTTCAAACAGGCTAGCTAGCCATCATGTTGTTTAGTTGCACGGTAAGTCGTTGTTCAATAAAATAAGTTGTAAAATTAATAGTAATTAATAATTAACTCTAAGAAATACTGAAACAGCTTTAGATCCATTTTGAAAATGCTCTTCTTTTTTATTGATGTGTCACGCTACATTTTTCACTACAAGAAACTACATAGTTATTTTATTTCTCAGCCTACTGTACATTGAAGTCCTACCTTTGCAGAGGCAGCAATTTCCTGTATTCCCTTGGCAGCAACATCTTTTATGATCGGTGTAATGAGACCTCGGTCTGTTGCCACAGCAATAGAAATGTCAATGGACTGCAGCTGCCTGCAGCCTTCTCCATCCCAGGTTGCGTTCACATCTGGCATTTGCTAGGAAAAAAAAAAGACAGCTGGTAGAAGAACAATGGTGCAATCAATTATCAAGAAAAAGGAAAATCCTTTAAGACACATAGCATGATACAGGTATTCACCAAATTAATTAGTGCATCACAGACTGCTGCTTGTAAATGAAGGCAAAAGATCAGGTCATACCTGTCATCAGGACTGCTACAAGCAGGACAAAAAAAATAATAAAATCACTGTAAAGCTCTAAGAATAGATTTACATGATTAGCTTGATTTAAACTTACTTTGACAAAAAGCATGAATACATACTCCAGGAACCAAAATAAACAATGGCAGGGGACCCAGAAGATTTCTTTTTGTGCTACTAGAGAACTAACGAATTATCAAAAGCCTCTAAATTCCTTCAGGAGTCACTGGCACCACCTTACCGACACCCAGAACACAAGAACCACAAAGCATTGTAATTTCTCCCCCCAAATAATTCACAGGATATTGACTTTAAAAGCATAGAAAACAGATCTTACTATACCCGTGTGTTCTTTTCCAGTTTTGTCTCAAGCCTTACCCTCAATAAATAAAGCTAAAAGAGGAATATGCTGCAGGTACACTCATTGTTATTGGGATGAAGTTCTCCTAAAATGCATCAGAAATCTTTCTGCAAAGACCTCCAATTAAAATTCAAATAATATTTACTGATATGTTTAATGATTTTTTGTGAGTTTATCATATAAAGCTGGAGCAGCTCAGGGGAAAAGAAAAATAATAAACCAACATATAGGTGTAGTCTCAGGTCACTGATCAGAGATACTGTGAAGGTGCTATTTCTAGTAAGTCCAAGATTAATATTGAGTAACCTTAATGAAACTCGGGATTGGGAAATTGAAAACTGACACCACAGTGCAGAAGATATTCCAGAAAAAAAGTTATGGGAGGTACACAGAGCTAAGCTTCATTCATGAATACACTAACTAACACTATCATATAATTTATTTAATGGAAAAAAAAGGAAGAAAAAAATCAAGTATAAAAAACAAATAAAAATAATCCAGTCTGTGTGTAGGAACTCACATTTTTTTTTGTTCTAGTTTTTCTTCTCTAACATAAGAAAAGGGGTAACTTGTCACTTCAGCATTATGGGTATAACTCCTGAACCATTAAGTACAATACTAAATAACTGAATGAATGGTATTGGCCACATAACATTAAGCAATTTTAAGCAATATATTTCAGTCTAAGCTTCACATGCCATTAGGAGAAGATGAAAACTATGCTTCTGTCACAACTTGTCTAAGCCATTGTTGGAATGTTCTGTAAGTGGGAAAAAAAAGGAGAATATGACCTGAAATCAAGTGTCTTAAAGCCCCAGATTGGATAAACAATCTTAAAAATGGTTGATAAGGGTTGTGACCTAAATACTCTAATTAAGAATTTTAAAAATCAAGACTCTTTTTTTTCCAGAAAGTTATTTCATTGTTTCAACTATAAGCAAACAAACCTTTACCTGTATTACAGAGAGGTTTAGATTATTAAACCCACGCATTTATAAATAACGTGGTTTTAACATTTTACCCAAACCACAGCAGAGGTCTTTCCATATGTATATCTTTAATAACGTATGTAGGCTGCTATGCTCTTCACATAAGGGAAAATTAAGTCTGTTTTCAAGTTGAGCTTAAATGTGAATTTCTTTGAATCACAGTTACACTAAGCTAGTTTACTATTTTAGATTTATTACTTTAGATAAATTTAAAAAGTAAACTTTTTTAGAAAAAAGGGAGGGGAAAGGGGAGAAAATAATCAAACGAAACTGCAATGTGGAAAACCAAGCATTTGAAATCCAAATGAATGCAAAGGTCATAATATTTCTACAGGAAAAAAAAATACTTAAATCAGAAGAGATAAAATAATAACTCCGAAACAAGTTTACATGGAAAGAAAAAGCTTTTGTTCAATGGTAAGACCCACTGTTTCCTTTGTCATCAGTGATTAAGAGTATATATTCACATCAAGTACTAGCATTTAACACAGTACAACAATGTAATGTGAATAGCAATAGAGAAAAATGTGTTTATTTTCAATAATTTAAGAATTCTTATATTCATTTAATAACTGATCATCAATTATAAAATTCAATTATTAAATTATTGAAGGCAATTATTCACTTACCTTCAGAGTAACTGCTGTCGCCTTGATAATAAAATCATTTACAGACACTTTAATGTCATCTGCAAAAAGAAAAAAAATCATTACCCTTAAGATGTGTTTATCAGACCTGTGTAATGACAAGATTCCAGCAATTCAGCAGATTTGCTTCTTAGAAACACTGTCAGAAAGTATCTCATCTTTAAATTACTATCATAAAAGTGAGAATACTTTCTCCCCTTAGAACAAAAGGAATATCAAGAAAGAGAAGTCTCCTCAGTATAGACATCCTTTCTAGCTTTTGATATAAAGTCAGAGTAGCTGCAAACTTGAATATTATCGTTCGCTCTAATGAGAAGTATTCCATATGTGTTTTATGTTTCATATATTTACTTTCCATGTAGAAGACTATTGTAGGATCTAACTACACAAAGATAATACTGAAGACTGGTATAATTGTGTACTGTAATGCATAAACTGGAATAATTGCAAAGATCAGCTTTTGTTCAGCTATGAATCACAAGTATGTCATTCTCCAGTGACCCTTGTAGCCCTGCAATGCAAGAATTAGCAAGGTGAAGGCACCTGCGAATCCTTAAATTGAGTTAATGCTATCTTTTAAAGCAAGCTGCAAAATAATATGCAACTAAGCAAGTTAATAAGCAAAACTACACACAAAGTCAATATTAGCTAGAAACATATAAGATAACCTTAAGAGGAATGGATATATTTATTTTGACTTAAGCATAACAAATACTGCATATCACTTAGTACATTTGCTTCCTTTCCCCCAAAACTTGGAAGAAGGAAGGGAAAAAATGGCTACATATGCTCTGCATGCATCTTTCAAAGCTTTAGGAGACCAAAGTACTAATAATGATCGTGACTGCCAACAGAAGCAAAGCCTAGAGACACAATGCAGAATATTCCATAGTTGCTGTAGAATTATCCTGAAGATAAGGTATTTACACAATATTAAATTCATCATGCTTATAATGAAAAAGGTAAATTACTCTGCTGTCGTCGTGACTGTTGTCACAGATCAAGAAGCAAAACTACTTAATTTTTGAGACTGACTTATGGCATGTAATAAATATACATGTCTTTAGGAATGCTTCTCTGATGGGAAAATCATTTACAGATAATTATGTAAATTTCTCAAGTGATCATTAATTTAGAGGAATTAACCAAGTGACCATTTTGCCACATAATTGACTTGCAATGTCAGCCATTAGAAGAAACCCAGAACTCTAATATAACACCAGGGAATCTACAAGTACCAAACTGGATTGACGGAACTGGAGCATGAGAAAAAAACCTGCCTTTTTAAATACATGTCAATTGTACTTTACTGATGTGAAAATTGGGTAGAAAGATTCTAGACTGCATTGTTAATTTTGAAAATATTAAGAAATCCTGTTGCACAGTACACTTAACTGATTTTAGGAAAAACAAGAACTATTTTAGTAATATCAAAGCAATTTTTGATTATTACCTTAAACTTCCACAATATTTTCTAAACATGCCATTTCAGTGAATACAAGTTGTGACAAAAAAGTGAAAACTTCATTTCTTAGTCTTATACAAATACATTTTTGTATAAATTAAACAGTGCCACATAAAAATTGGAATTTCCACATTACATATGATAAGATTTATAGCACTTGATTCAATTGTCAATGTGTATTTCAAAATTATCCAGTTCTCTGCATGAAAGATTTCTGTTTACCTACCATCTTAACATAGCCTTAAGCATGTATCTAAGTTTTTTGTTGAAAGAGATAACTGCCTTACTCCCATTAACACCATTACTATCTGTCTTCAAGGGGAATTTACCATGCATTGGCTGACAGGGGTTAAGAACTTTCTCTTCTTATCATGGATAAAGCCATTCTCAACAAGAATTTGAGAGACTGTATTAGCTTTCCCTTTTCCAATAAATTCAGTGAAGAAGCCAGCAAAACTAAAAACTTTAACTTTGTACCCGAAGGATAGTACACGAGGATATTTTAATTTAAAGCTTCCCTGTTATCTTTCACAAGAAGAATTTGAGGTTTTAAACTATAAAAAAATCTAAGTATTCCTATATCTGGATGAAATGAAACAAAAAACAACTGGACAATGCATAGTCCTCTGCAGTTGTCTACAAACCATCGTGTTAGCTGGCAAAGTAACAGCTCTGTCTTCCTGTATCTTGACAAGCTACCCAGTTCCACTAATCACACAGGACTATAGCTTGAGTCCGACATACAAAACACCAAATATGCCATCATGTTCTGTCCACCACCTCCTGGACACAAGGTGATGTGAACAAGGCAAAGTACACATTAGTACCACATGCAATACATAAGTCAGTTTAACCACTAACCTTTGGCCAATTCAGTTCTTAATTTCAAAATAGCATCAATGTCACAGTCAGCAGCAGCATATGCATGAGGTATAGTAGTTTTAGACTCCGTTAATCTCTTAGCAATAACTCTTCGGATGTTGCTAGCTGGGATTTCTGTGAATGTGCCCTGAAAGAAATCACATACTACACATTAAATATCAAGAGAGCAAACATACACTCCCTTTGCTGAAACAAAATTCCCAATACTGATGCTTTATCATTGGTGGCTCCCATTCACTTTAAACTTCACCTATGAGGATCAGAAAGCAGCACATTCCAACTACAGAAAGTAACATGATTAAGATCAGTGAGTGTTCTAGTCTATTCCACTGAATTTGGATTAAATCAACAGGTTGTACAGAACAAAGACAGTTTCACTTTACAGTATAGAATTAATCCTAAAATTAATTCCTGTAGACGTCTTCAAAAAAATATGTCCAAATATTCAGGCTTCAGTTCTCAGCCAGGGTATGTAAGCACTCTTCTCCATCTACCAGACCTGACATATTGCTCAGACTATGCTTAGTTCCCTATAGATTATAATACATATTTCCTCAGTGAATTACTACTTTTCCAGTTCTCAGAGTAGTTGCTTCAGACAGGTTTCACTGCATATCTTTTTCCTTATTCTTCCTCTCTCTCTCCAAGATACATTCAGTAATGTTTCAATACAAAAAGTTTCCCCAACTTCTTCATAGAAGCAAATCATCTTTTAAGAAAGCAGTGGCTTTCAGCACTAAGCAGCAGTGGCAATATTTACCTCTAATAAAGGTAAGGACTTAAAAGAAACATTACCGGTGCAGCTGGTTGTCCTGGTGTGGAAAGTGGTGGAACTGCTGGCCTTGGATAAGCAGAAGTCACAGCTGTTGCTGGCGAAGCAGAAGGCACTGCACTAGGCTGGGGAGGAGCTGGAGAAACCATAGGTTTCAATTCACTGGGTTTGTCCTTCTGCTTCTCTTGCAGAAGTTTGAGAGCATCCCTGGTGATTAAACACAGTGAAATACTGACAAAGAAGAAACAATTTCAAAAATTCCCAAAGTATTACTGCTCCATCACTAATTTGTTGGCAAACTATGTGCATTTCAATTTCTGTTGATAAACCAAATGTTAAGAAGATGATTTTTAAACTGATACAATTACTGGTTTTGTATCTTGAGTTACAGTAAATTATCTCATTAATTTCTATTAAAGTTGTTGTTTTTTTTTAATATGCAGTAACAGAAAACATTTGTGTCAGAGAAGCATGTCTGTCATCACTAATTGTTGGTGTATAAGACAATTTGTAAACTGCACTAACAATTCTTGTAAATAAGGTATCAGAGTACATTTACTTAGGCTATAAAGTTCTGAAAATCTCAAATACAAGCTATTTCATTTGTTATACTTGGAACCACTTCAACTAAAATTAATTATGTTGTGATAATTATGGTAGGTTTCTAATGCTACTTTATAAATAATGCTCACAGGAAATTAAGCATTACACTTACCAACCATTTCTCTGTACCTTCCTGACATAAATATGCACAAACGTATAGGTAGTATACAAGTTCACACTTCATATACAGTTTGAAAGATAGCACCATGCTGAAGACATACATGTAAGGAAAACTCATATCCTTAAGCTACAATCCTATACCTACAAAGGTGCATTGCATTTATATAGCTACATGCTAAATACTGTTGCACGTATGAGGTAAAACAGATAAAATTATATTTACACCACTACTGCCAACTGCAAGTAAAATAAGCTACGCTAATAAAATCTGTCTCTACCAGGGACTTGGCAAAAGAGCTGTATCAGTCATGGATCACTTATATTTATGCTCTGGATCTGATAACAAAAGCTTGTATCATGTACCCTACATAATCCTCTATCACTTCATGAAGCCATCACCACAGTATGTACACAAAGGTTTATTACATAAATTGGTAGAGGAAATCAAAAGCAAGTGTAAAAATCAGACTACTGACAACCACAGCACGGCTTCTAAATATATGACATACCAAGCAAAAAGGCTTTCGACTTTCATTAATTACTGCTCAAGGGAGAGTTTATTCTTCAGTGAGTGTCAATAGTTTATATGTTATTAATTTTTTGTGAAGGGGCAAAATCTCAGAACCACAGAACAATCTGAATGGACTTGTATTTTTTCTTAACAATAGCAATCCAGAGCCAAGAATTAAAACCTGAAAAGCTCCTTGTTTTCAATATATCTATTACTCATTGCTGAGTAATTCATCACTAAAGCTGTTACTTGTTTTTTCCAGAATTACATGCTAGCATTTCTTTTAAAAGTATTTAATGTTTAACATAATTACCACATGAGAGGGAGAAAGATGGTTAGATTTCACTGAATAAAAACCGTCTCTAGCATTACAATTTCAGATTTAAAAAAAAAAGTAACTACATGATGTAATGCAACTTTCCTACTTAACATACTAGAAGCTACCAAAAATCACTTAAGGGTTTTAGTTTGGCAGCCACAAGACAGACCATCTGTTCATTATATTATTCCCATATTACATAGGATAAAGCTTTAATAACTTTTTATATATTTAAAGTTAAGAAAATGTTTTAAAATTACTTCCATGTATTATGCAAATGGCATACGAAACAGATGGCCCTACCTACCATAGCCAAGTCAAAATGTTTTAATGATTTTGATAGCTTTCAGTGTGTTAACTGAAAAAATTATTGCTAGAATTGAGCTTATTTTTAGACTAGAATATTCACTGAGGAGTTTTTGAATTTCGCGCAAGTACGAGATAGACATCTTTTATTTTTTAAACGACCTACTCCACATGACTTAACAGATTAAGAGAAATAGGCACATCAATATTATGACTGTCATGGGTGCAAGACTGGGAGCCTGAACATAAGATGGAGGAGGCACCAAAACATATCAAATTAAACATTTCTGTACAACGCCAAGAAGTGACATCTCATCAAAACTGGAAAGGAAAGATGTGACCATCCCTTCTAAGCTACTTTATAAGCCACCTATCAATACAGGATAGTAATGGAGAAACATGAGAGGAATACAGAAACATGAAAGAGAGCAATCTGCCCAGGGAAGATACCAGAGCTTGGTGAACATTTGTTAACAACAGTATGCTATACCGAACTGTTATTATTAGAAGAATGCAAATTAAGGCAACTCTTCAGTTTAACCACTACTACAGAAATGTGCAGACTAACACTTTCTACTTCATCATGTTGGCCAAAAGAAAAAACAGCCACAGTAAACTGTGTGTTTTGTGCTCAAAATATACTTTACATCCTCTAATTTGCCCATTTCACACACACTACTAATAATCATTGAAGATCCAGTGTTGGCACCATGAGATTCACATACTGACAGTAGCATACCCTGGTGGCAGTTATTGTTGCTAAATTTCCTCAGCCTCCTTTCACCTGAACATCTGATTACTGTATTCATAGATTTCTTGGGAGAGGGAAGAGGTGAGCTGAGAATGCTACACACAGCTTCTGCTGCACCATCAATGTTGTACAAGGAACTCATTCCCCCATAGTGACAGCTGATAAGCTGTATGAAGCATAGATACCACTGCAGGTCTGCACTTTATAAATACGTTTACTCGTTGGAAACCCAGTACTACATCAGTGTCCTATATCTTATTTGCAAGGGGAAAACATAAATGCCTGAGAAACTCTGAAATCCTCAATCACACCTCACTTAGTGACAGCAGGTAGGGAGGTATAGATGGAATGAACATGGCCTCAGAAGACCAGTTACTGCTGGTAACTAACATGCCCACCTTTTACTGTTTGCATTTACAAATCCCTACATCATCAGCAAACACGATGAGAAAGGGTAGAAGCAGTCTGAGACAATCAACAATTTTAACATACAAAAACAGTGTCTGAGCTGATGACTAGAAACAGAAGTCGACTTACTTTCTGTTAATACGTTAATTTTCTAGCATATTTCTGAAGAAAGCACAAGACACTGCTTGAAGAAAATAAACCACTCCAGAACAAAACCAATCAGAACAAGGAATATACTAATTAAGACCTGAAGAAAATGAACTATCAGCCCACTAAGGGAGCAAATTGTGACAGAGAAAACTACCAAGTGAAATCACCTATTTCTGTTAAAAGTAAATTTTACAAGTGCATTAAATCTAAAAATACAAAGTTGGGGGAAAAGAATCTTGCTTTCTTACATAACTCACTATCCTTCTTTGTTTCTTGTAATCTCAAACTTGGATTTTAACAATGTTAAAAAGTCTTGGATTTAACCAAGGAAACTTGGTGTTTAACAGTGAAAATCGAACCTGCTACAATCCCCTGAAGAATTGATCACTACTCTAGTTAGAAACAAGACTATGAGTCACTCAGCTATGAAGTATGGCACGTATTTAACAGGAATCTCAAGTTAGCAAAAGTAGTATTTCCCTGAATGTCTGTAGCAGCTTTCTACAAAAAAAAAAAAAAAAAAAAAATCTGCAAACATTTCATTTCCAAGTGTAATAGCAGAGCCTGCAGGCACCTGAAAGGCTAATACCATTTCAAAGTAATGGTTTAAAAAAAATCTGTCTGCATTTTAAAATGTATTTTCAAACTCAAGTCTTTTGTATGAAAGAGATGTTTTGAAAAAATAAGATTGTTAGTCAGAACATTTTCATAGTTACAGAAATCTTTGCTACATCTCCATGACAACTGGGAATGTTAATTAGGTGTTTCTAAGTCCTAGAGGGTTTCCACCTGCCATAGACTACAAACGCACCACAAAATACCATTACAACTGCATAATGAAGAAAATATCTGATAATTTGCTGTACATAGCACATTCTATCCATTCAAATCCCTATTTTCACTCAATTCAACCAAAGACTATATGAAAAAGCTTTAAAACGGAATGAACTTCCATAGTCTGCTTTTCCAGTACATTTCAGTTACACTAACCTAGCTTTATATGGAAACAAAAATTCAAAAAAAGTTTGTATGGAAACAAAATTACAGCAGCTAACAAGGGCTGCGTAGGTGAATGATGGCATCAGTCAAAAATAACACGTTCACTTAGAACAAAACCAAGAATTTCTACGAAAAGTTATCTTTGATAGCTTTACACACAACTAATGCAAAGACAATATACCATTTCAAGGCTAAGCATTCTGAATCTACCACAACACCATTTTACACGCAAGCTCCTACCTCCAAGGGTTGAGTGTTAATCAGTAGAACAGAATACTCAAAACAACATTAAACTACTAGAACACTGATCACAACAAACCAGAGCTGTAAACATTCCCTGAACTAAAAATAGGAAAAACAATAACAACAACAAAGAAACACAAATGGGAGAAAAAACAGAACTCTGGGATTTCATTCATACCATACATACATTTCATTGCTCTCCCCAGTTTAACAAAAGGGAGAGCAAATTAAATCCTGACAGATTTCATAGTTTAACTTCAATGAAAGAAGAAAAAGATCTGAATTCGTCAAAGAATAGGAGCTGAAGAAAAAAAGTCCGCTATTGTTTTGTTTTGGTTCTGTATTTCTAGTAGGGAATAATAGTTTAGATTCACAACAGTAGCGAACACTGCTGTCAAGGCACTGATAGCCACTGTTAATGTGACAGCAGTACCATACAATCCACATTGAATATAAAAACAAAAATCTATTTGTTTTGAAGTTAAAGGCTTCTTTAAGTATCTCCTAACCTATTCTCCCCATCTGCTTGACAGGTTCTTCAAATTACACTAGGCAACTCCTCCAAGGAAAAATATAGAAGAAAAAGGTGGCTTTTATGAAAATAGACTTTTCAATTTCATGGAGATTGCTCTGGGTTCAAAGGAAGAAATAAAGGAATATGAGGTTGTATGTTTACTGAAATATCTACATACTCTTTAGTGAAGATTCCTCGAGGCCCAGAAGGTGTAACATTGCTTGGATCTAGTCCATGTGTCTCCAGAATGTTGCGAGCCGCAGGACTTAAGCGAACCCTAAGGAAATGAGGAGGAAAATTAACTATTTAAAACAGTAAGGTTTACTTCTTTTCTTTACTGTAAGAGAAATTATATAATTTATGCTGTATTGTGCAAGCAACAGCTGGGGAAGAAAACAGTTCTATGCAAAACCTGTGATCTTAATACTAAAGACAGACTCTTCCCCCTCACCAAGCTTCAATACCAGGTTGCATTTAAAAGCACAACAGTGACTTACAGGAACCAAAATAAAGACTGCAAAACTCATCTTCAAATTTTCCTTCCACAGCAGTATAGTGGGAAAGGATTATCAGTGCAGAATCAAATACATTCTTTAATATGCTAGCATATTAAAGAAGACTAGCTTGTAGTAACATAAAAAATGAGTTTCAGGAACTTGGACAAAAGGGTTGCTCATCTCTACTATTTGTTTGGCTAGTTGGCTATTACTAATGCAGTTTAATTCTTATTATAACATTATTTTTTCCCTAGCTTCCATTTTTTTTTATAGTATTGATTTAATGAAGCAGATGCTCTTTGGGAAAGCAAGTCATATACATGTAGCTGCATAATTCAGTATCTGCTTTGGAAGACTAAATATGAATTCATCCCACACTCAGACATATCTATTTGTTATTTCCTGAATGAGAATGTTTGCACTACATCAAATTTAAGGACTGTCCATACGTCCTTGTCAAAGGAACACATCATAAATGATCATTTGATGCCAAAGATGCTAATGCATCTCTGGAATTAACAGCTGCAGAGAAACAGTTGCACATTTGACAAAAATACAAAACTTAATCCTTTCAAGTGCATGGATAATTGTCCTCCTACAAGTAATATTTGGGCATTGACCAAGCGACCACTCAGTTGCTTCCACATGTCTTTCACTTGCATTAGAATAGCTCAAATGATGGTATCAAATGTGAACATAGCAAACCAGATTAGCAAAGCACGGAGGTTTAAAAACAAGCAAACAAAAAAAATCCGCAAACAAAGCGCAAAACCCCAAACAAATGAAAAAAAAAAATCAAACCAGAACAGTTTCAGTAGCACATGCTGCCAAAATGAGAGTTCCCCATTCTTTTCTTTAATAGACTGACTTCACAGCTTTTATGTTACCATAATTCACTCCAAGTGGAGAGTAACACCCTTGGTTGGCTTGATATTTTGTTTGTTTGCTTGTATAACGACATAACCTAGTCAAAAATCTCCACCACAGTCATTTATAAACTCTAACGTGAAATTGCTGTTTGAATAAAACTCTTCAGTTTGAATTATCTGCAGCAATGTCTAACATGGAGCCTGAAACACAAACCTGTGATACATAGATTACTATTACCTGCTTAACACTTTGGGGTTAATATATTTGCCTTCTAAGATGTTTGCAAATGCTTACCATACCCAAACATATAAAAAACAATCAACAACAACAACAAAACAACCTAACAAAGAGCACACAAGCTCATGATCTTGAGTTTTTCACAATTCTGTTAGGAAAATGAAAATACTCCTTTTTCCTAATATCAAAAAGTGGAAGAACTTAGCATGTTTGGAGTGAGTCATTTGTTGTTGTTTGTCTCCTTTTTTTAAGGAAAAAGATAAAGTAAGTTAAAGATAAACTGATAATCTCATGATAAGTATCTAATAATAAGCATTAGCATCCATCATATGTAAAAACAACTTTTTCCTCATCTAATCTTAGAATACTTCATAAAGCAATTATGTATCAGAATAAAAGCACATTAACAGAAGTTGCTCTAATAAACGTATGTTGCTTGAATTGACTTTTTGGGAGTACAAGCAGAAAAATATTCTGAGAAGGCAAGCTTTATTACATCACACATACTGAAACACTCTCTTAAACAATAGCTTAATACTAGGTAAGAAGGGAAAAAATATTCTTCTTGGTTCAGTTCTACTGATGCAACTGAGGAAGTGTTCCATTTCATAATGAGCACAGAAACTCACTGCAATTTTCCAGGTAGATGTTCCAGTTTAGGAGGAGGGGCTGAAACTGAAGGACTTGCAGGAGTTGAAGTAGGTGCAGCTGCTGGTGGAGCCAGAGAAGATGGATCGCTAGCATCAGCTGGTATTTCAACCTGCTTCCAGTCCTGTCCTTCTTCTACCAGCAGACCAATTAGCGAGCCCAAGCGTACATTTTTGCTTCCTTCTTCCACCTAAATTTAAAGCAATGAGAACATTAAGTTAGCATTGTCTAGACTAACATGACTAAAAAGGGTAGATGTAAAAAGTTCAGGCATATTAATGACACTTCATCAGGAAAATATATCCCATTTTATTTCTACTATTAATAATGAAGACTCATGACAGAAATTAAGTACAGCTGCTATTTTAAGGTGAAAGGGAAGTATTAACTTACATTAATGCCTCAAAGTTCCATACATCTAAAGTTAGCTAGCATTCAGAAGTTAAAGTGAGGACACTCAGAGTACCACTGGGGGGAAAAAAAAAAAAGCCCTGTTAGCTACTGAAAATGAGTGTGGATGCCTAATCTTTGGGAACAAAGCCTGAAAATTTTGCTAGTTATGTACAGCAAGATAATTTGAGATATCCACACTGTATCTAGTAATGGCACTTTTTAAAAACACAACTTTGTAATTCAGAAGCTAAAAAACAGAAGCCCCAACCCCATAACAACAACTTAACTTATTTTTGAAAAAGATAACACTTGCTTCATGCTATCATCCACTGCTAAAATTTGTCTATTTTAACCTAACTGGTGTCAAATAACAAGTGTGTCCCAAAGAATATGCCAGCATGTATGTGATATACAACTCACTATTTCAGATAACATCTGAACAGAAATCTTACAGAAAGAACATAATGTAATTAGACCAGATAAGGCCAATCTGTTCCAGATGTTCCTCTCAAAATTAAAAGACATTTCTGTACCACAATCAAAATAGCTTTTATGATGCTTTGGGAGACAAAAGCATGGACTTTAAAAACAAACAAACAAAAAAAAACAAACAACATTGACTTAACCTAATAAAGGGCTCCACAATAGGACAGTCTTATGGTCTTTGAAATGGTTGCAGAAGTAGAACTCTTTAGATCCTCAAAAGCAGTAACGTTCCAGGGCATCATGCCATAAGTTAAAATAGCTCTTGGGACCACAGGTAGCCACATATAACTTAGACTGTACCAAGCCCAAACAGAGTTAATTTCCAAACAACGGAAACACACTAAAGCTCTACATAAAGCCATATTGCACAAACATTTGCCTCAGACAGAGTTAGTACACATCTATCTGCACTGCTGACATTTTGACCAAGAAAATGCAAATCACTGTCAAATGTTTGAAAAGTCCAAACTAAAAACCAGACACAAAATAAATAGATACACATAGCACCGAGTGTAATATTGTTCTTATTAGTTTCATCAAGTTTTGTAGACACTTAAACGCTAAGTAGAATGCTGTAAAACTGTAAAAAGTGTACTAGGCAGATGCAGATACTAGAACATTACTATTCAGGGAACACAGTTGTCGGCACACTTACCTCCTCTGTCAGAACACATCAGATTTCACTGGATTACCTGTCCCCCTCCCTAGAATGGCCAACACTAGATGTAAAAATGAACAGCAAAGCCAGTCTGTTCTGAGTATATTCTCATAAAACATTTCACATTTACAGCTTTGTCAGTCCACTTCGTCTTCCCCCAGGAACAGTACATAAATTTTGGTGTAATACTTCTTTTTAAAAGAGTATTCATTACATGAGGAATAAAAAAAATCTAAGACAAATCACTACTTCTTGTCTGATCTCTTGATGCACTTTTCTCCATTAATACTCTGAAAAGCTTTATTTGAGAAAAAGGTCTGAAGTGCTCTAGATTTGACCATGTTTGTTTTTGTTTTTGTTTTTTTTTTGAGGTGAGTTTAAAGTACCTGGGAATAACAGAGTGCCAAGCAAAACTCACAAACTGCTTAGTGTAAAGCTGAAAGACCCTTATAACAGAAAGGTGCCATTGACAAGCATATTTGTATAACTGGATAAGCTTGCAGTATTACTACTACTCATAACCAAATAAAACAGCAGCTTGAAGCAGATGTAAACACAACCTACCTAACATAGCCACTGAAAACACACACAAAAAAAGGGTAAAAAAAAAAAAAAAAAACTATGCTATAAACCAAAAAGAAACCTGAAATTATTCACTCTAATAATTTTACAGCATTATCTTACTTAGCACTGAACAAGGCATTTAAAAGCCTCCATTTGTCAGAATAGTAATCAGATGTTTGATGCTGAATACAAGACTCATACCAATGACAACACAAATGTCCCACAAGTTCAAAATAGTTCCCATGCTAATATGTAGCAGCAGTTATATTTTTATTTTTTTTTTTTGCAACATAAGAACTTTTTTTTTGGCGCATGTTTTCATTCCTTTGCAAAGGCATGCATGTACAATAAAGAACAGCTCCACTTTAAGAAGCAGTCTACATATTGTACCTGAACAGACCAGTAAGCACTAGGATATGCTTGTGGTATTAATTCTTCATTGCAATTTTGGTCTAGGAGTGCTTTAATGGTGCTATGAGTGCACATGCAGAAATCCAAGAGGAATGGTTGACCATTCAGTAATATAACAATTCTACTAGTCAGAATTTGTTTATAGACCAGCATTGCATGAACATTCAAACCTACCAACAGTCTTCATAGTGACCCTATTGTGCTTTTTTCTCATATTCGTTACTCCTCAAGATAAACAGCTGTGAAAACTCCAGCATTCCTTCATTTCCAGTACAAGTTTCCAACCCAGATGAACACATAGTTTATATTTTTAAAAACACATGTGTTTAAAAATATTTTCAAAAAATAAGAATACATGCGTACAGCTTTTGCAGCTCAGAACAGAGAGACAAAAGAGTTGTATCGGTTAACTTTTCATCTCCTGGATTTTTTAAATCATATCTTCTGTATTTCCAAAATCCACAATACCAGAAGACCCCTTTGCATAAGCCTCAATGAACCCTGGAATCTCAGATGTAGAAAGATAAAGATAAGACTCAAATAAGTAGTTTCACAATATTTCTATTGCTCTGCGTGTAAGCATAGCCCAGAAGATTCTAAAAAATCCTAGTTTAGCTGACAAATCAGCAATGCTCAGCTGAGCAATGCCAGGGAGAAAAAGCTGGAGGTTACTCCTCTATGCAATTAAATTTTCCTCTGAGCAGGTGCAACTGCAGCACAGTGGCAGGTAGGGTGGGCAGAACTCATGCTGGCTGACCACAGTGGAAGTTTTATATGAAGTAGTTTCTGTTCATAGCAATTCTCATTTAGGTCATGAATGAGAAAATGGGAATGGATTTTAAATACAGTTCTTTAAAACAATCGTTCATCCCCTGTTTTCAGTCCAAATTGAACTAAGTATTTTAGGAAAAAAAAGTCACAGTTAATTTAAGAACTAACACTACTGAAAGAGTAATCACCTTTCTGAAATTACCCTTCTAAAATTTTCATTCACTCATTTAAGTTTTTAGTGCATTTTATACCAAATCAGATGTGATCATTAAAAGACAGATTCAGAGAGAAAAGGAATGTATGCGTATGGACCTATTTTATTCTTAGCCTGCTCTTTCTTATATCATACATACTTGTAGCATATAGTCATAAAAAAGGGGTTAGAGAAACATGAATTCCTTTAATCTAATGAACCTTACCTCTTTAAAGGTAAAAAACCACAGTGCTAGTTTGCATTTATTTGACTCAAGTTTTCCGCTCAGTTACCATAGTGCAGAACTGTAGCTGGAATCAAACAATTTAAAACCGTTGCCTTGTTTCTTTTAGGAAATGAATAAACTTCAACTGATTTGACCGCTGAAATGCATTATACTTGTTCTTAATTCCCCATCAGCTACATCACATGAAACTTCTGAGATGGGCTTTGAAAGGATAGTCTTTTCAATATGAAATCATCTCCCCATCCACAAACCTGAGCTTAATGTCAAAAATTTTCCACAGAGGTCTCCTGAACATCCAGTATAGTGCAGGATACTGCAAAAAGACTATTAAGAACTGTACTTGAGCTAAAAAAAATAAATTAGAAAAATAAAGGAAAATCACATCCTATTGCTCCCCTATTATTCCAGTTCCCCAAAACATCAGTTTCATCCAGTACTTTTCAGGAGACTGGAATCAAGTTTAATATCTACTCTGTATTACAATATTTAAGCCCGTCATTTCCAGATTCCAAAATGGAGTATTAACCCATTAAAAATTTATTTGGCATAATAATCTGTTCATGCTACTCCAATAAAGCTGCCTCTCTTCCCTTAATCTGAAAGACATTACAGCTATTATCCCCCTTGAGACATCTCCTTCTCAGACTCAGCTTCCAGTGTATGATTGTTATTGGATGGTGTGAAATGTCTTGGCTAAGGTTGAATGCCATTGCTAGAGAATCTAACTGTTGCCACTGTTGAATGTTGCTAGAGAGTCTGGTTTTGATTGATATAAAATGGCACCAAAACAGCAAAATATACATAAGGAAATTTTGGAATCTGGGATGGTTTTGGTATGCAGGGAACAGGAAAAATGCAGTTTCTGAAATACTAATGCTATCTGTAGTCATCATGAACCACTTTTAAAGATGCAAGTGAACACTGGAGTCTATCCTATCCTTTACGTCTCTTGGGCAAGTGTACTTTGAAAATTTTGACACAGAGAATCCCCATGCCTCCTCTTCACATAATCTCACAAAGCAGTATCTGTAAATGCAGAATAGATACTTCCTATTAAAGAAAAAAAATGAAGAGGTTGCACAATAATTTTCAGAAGCATTCAAAACTGAAGACGAAAGAATTAAAAATAGTGAAAGCATTACTCATCTACCAGTTATGAAAATAACAATGTGAAGACCAAAAAAAAAAAAATCCCCATGCTTTCAGAAGTGTCTGCTGTGAAATTTTGTTCTGGAATACCAGAATGGATTCTCTGAAAATTACTAGATGTGTTGATATGCAGTTGAATGCAAAAGCAGGAGTTTTATCAAGGTGCTACAAAAAAAAATAAAAAATAATAACTATTTAGCAATGTAAGTTACAAGAAGGAAAAGGTTTACAAACTTCCTATCTATATGAACTACTGATTGAAATGCAAGTTTTTTTTGTAGAAAATGCAACGCTAATAATAATTTCTTATAAACCCTGACAAGCTTAACTTGCAGCTGCATTCCACCCTAGATCACTTCTCCTCCCAAAACACCTCCCACCTATTTTGATGCATTCATTTTTGCAAAGAATATTCCCTTTGCTCATACAAAAAAGGAAGATGCTAAATGGACCATCACTTCTCAAATTCTCCCATGAAGGCAAGTACTCGCCCCTTTTTGCAAAGAGTAGCTACGCGAATACATTCTGCTACAACTGCATTTTCGTACAACAGCAAGAGGCAATGTAACATACCAACCCAACTAGCTTTTGTAATAGCAGCACAAACAAGTCGCACTGTGGGCAGGGTAGAATTGTCTTGCACGCTGTTGGCTCTAGGAACTAGTTGTAGCTACACCCTTTCTGTAATTTTCTAAGTAGCTAGATTACTAGTAGCAGTATGCCTATATAGCTCCACAACCCCATCTCTTGATTAGATATTCCCTAAATGAGACCTCCCTGACCAAATTACATTTTATCTACTATAAAAATTTGTCATCAACAGCAGTCTTTTTCAGAGCGCAATCCCAGTTCTCATTAATTGTAGGGCAGTTACCAGAGTAACACTGTTTAGCTGACACCAGGCATATGGAAAGGTTATCTCCTGCCACGTTAATTAAGCTATTGTTTCAGAGCAGGAGCCATCTTTCACGGACCTAGTCTTAGAAAATGGCATTGGAGAGAACTACTGCAATCGTTATTTTTCATCTTCAGGACAGTACCTAAGAAAATTGGTCTTACACTTCGTAAGGTTTTAAGAAATTGATAGAAAAGGAAGGATGATACTGTGATTAAACCACTGAACTGAAACTTAAGACAAAATTCAAGTCCCTGTCTACACTTGAGTCTTTGCTTTTGCCTCACTGAAGCAGCACAAGATCTCTGGTCTTTAGATGCCTACTTGCAAAACAAAAACATTTAAAAAAAACAGAAAAAATATTCATATGCCATTGGCATTGAAAATCCAAGGTCAGTCCTAAATCCGTTTCAAAGAAGGAGTATTATTTATTCCTGTAGTTCTTCAATTCAAGCAGTTTATTCCCTTAGTGTGGGTGCAATCAAATACTTGGATTTCTTGATTTTGCAGTCAAAGCAAATCTATGTTGCTAAGCTCAAGCAACCAAGATCCTTCCCAAACACAGCCAACTCTTAACTAACTCTGCTCAGCACCCTTCCTCTGGAAATTTATCTTTAGTGGCAACAGGTAACCAAAACTGTTTATAGGAACCCAAATAACATCAAAATGCCACTCATCCTCTTGCATTTTACTTCTCCATCTCTACATTTTTGTCCACTCCCTTCTTTCCCAACACACCACTTTGAACTAAATGTTTCTATAAAGGGTTTCATTATCTATTGCACACACATGACAAAACAATTTCTCCAAAGTTCTTATTCAAAACTTCAAATTCACTGTTAACGTTTAGTTATTGTGAATGGAGGGGAAAAACATCTACTATACTCCCACCAGCATGAAAATGAGAGAGTTTTGAAATCTTCAAGTAGTAAGCAGTTTGGGAAAGAAATCCATAAGAAACGGAAAAGGGAGAAAAATTATGGTCCTCTCAAACAAACCACATGGTTGGATTATTTTGAGTGTAAGGAATGAAGCCTATAATTTATCCATGGTATCCATTTAGAATGAAGTAGAGACTAGACTATAAGCACCATGCAAATGATGCTTATAAAACAGTGTGGTTTGCAAGAAAGAGTATGTTACAGCTTTATTAATAATTTCACACACAGGAACAACAGAATATCACTACCGTATTGTTGGTTAAAGCACCACCCAAACTACATATTCCAAGTGACTGTCACTTTTTTCTCTGAGAAAAACTGCAATATTTCACAGGTGTGACTCATAATGAACAAAAGATAAATTAATACAACTCAGTTGGACTAACTGAAAATCTCTCTCTAAATATGTCTAGAAATTACAAATACGAGTGGTCTGGTATACGTACTGATATAAATAGAGCAATTATTTCTCACTGGGAATGCAAATAAGTACATTATACTAAGAGCTGAGCAGACTGAAAGCTATCTGTCTAAACTAGTTTTTGAGGCATTATGCTAAACAACAGTCTCAAGAGAGATTGTAACATCCTACTCAGACAGAATCCCTACCAGTATTTTTGCCAATACGCCATCATCACTCGATTCCATGGTAACCACCGCTTTGTCTGTTTCAATTTCACACAATGCATCTCCAGCATTCACTGTTTCACCTGCAAAATATAACAGAACTTAAGAATACTTAGGCTAAACTTTCTTTCAGAACTATTTAACCATGGAAGACAGACACTTAAACATACAATAAAGGCACTTTACATCCTTCAATACATTCTATAGCTAGCAGATTCCCCATCATGGTTTATCATGATATATTGTATCTTTCAATTCCAAATATGAACACTAACATTCAGAGACAGAAACTGCAGCAGCAGAACATTAACATATTCATTAAATTCCAAATAGCATTGTTTATAGTAGGCTTTCCAAAAGGAAGTACACACACACACACAAAATTAAATTTATTTGCACAAGACCATCAATCAGTAGCACTGGCACAAATATAATCCCCAGCCTTCCATTTTCATTGCTAGCCATAAGCCTAAGATGTTTAAACCAGTAATTATTAAGATTGGTCTTAGTCAGCAATATCTGTAAGTATTACAGTTCCCTAGTTTGTACCTGTACTATCAAAGATTTTCAATTAGAAATCTCAGGAACTTGAATCCTTTTGGCAAGTTTATCTGCAGGCTTGCTTCCTCAATCTCATACAATCAAAAGAGGTCTAATAGAAATGTTTTTACTTTGTGAAATAAAAATATGCGCAAATGTTAGAATCTGCTTTTGCAACATTACAGAAAACCAAGTAGAATAATTTTGAAGTCTACCCTTCCCCTGCTTTTCAAGTATACCTATAACTGCAAGCACATGATAAAATTACAATGGGTCTGGAATCCTTCAACACACCAATACTGACCAGATGGCTTACATTAAAACTGAAATTACACTGAAGAACTTTGAGGTAGTTGAATGCTTTGGTCTCCAACAAAATATTATACTTTTCCTTATAGAGCACTGAAAAATGGCGTCAATATGTGCAAGTCTAACATGTACAGATGTTAATATCTCCCCAGTACCAGAACTGCTGCAACAATATTATCTAAGCACTTAATTCTTTCTGCTACTGATTCTTAAGCATCAGAAAGAAAAAAAAAAGTTGTGCAGGTTACAACCTATATTTAGGTATATGATACACTTAAAATTTTATTATTAAATTATTGCCTGTTTCAAAACTACCTCAATTAGAAGGGAAAAATAAAGCATTATATGATTCTCGCGATCTCTGCAGTAACAAACAATAGCAGCATTCAAAGCTCAACCAATTACATAGTTTTAGAAGTCGTAAAAATTCTTATTGAGGAACTTGGCAAGGGAGGTCACAAAGTAGTACCTGATTATTTAATTTAATAGTCTAATTGCCGCACCGCACTTTGCGATAACTAGAGCATAAACAGTCTACATAGGAAACTAAATTCCCAGGCTTTATATCTGTGACTTAATCACATTGGATCATTAATTCAAGTGGCCTATATATCATTAAATCATTAGGTAAGTACTTCATAGATGTTAAGAAACCAAATTGTTGGGCAAATTGTGCAATCTACAAAGCTAACACAGGTAAGCAGAAAGGTGCTTAATTCCATCTTAGTGTCTTCTCCCAGCCTGTAATCAATCTGTAAATGTTCTGTACCTTTAAAAAGAAATCTTACTATTGGAGGCTGCTTAGCACTAACTCTAACAGTGCAAGCTAGGCAAAATAAATTTCATGTGTTTGTCCCATACAATGCATCTCGTAACTTATATACATGGGGCTGTTCACAGAACGGTAAGGATTCCCTTACACAGGGAAGACATGAGGAGGAGTCTTCAGGGAAATAGGCAAACCACTTTTCCATCACTGTTTGTTTTGTTTTCCCTTCCCTAGTCCCAGTACATACTGCAGCCAAGAAGTGGTCAAAAATTTGGAAGAAAACTGTTCATATGCAATTTCAAGAACAATTTATAGCAGCCTTCAAAATTTCACGAGTTTCAATATCTCAGTGCTATAGAAAGGATCATAGTTATTTTCAGTAGACTGCAAAATTTGTGATCACTCCTAAATAGCACCCACTTTGATGTCAGTTACAAATCAGCTTTCCCAGCAGAGATGTTTGGAATGAACAGCTTTGCAAAATGTGTGTTTTTATGCTTTCTAATGAGAAAGCAGTGTTTCCAACGGAAGTTGCCTGAATGGTACTCTGAGATTATATATAATGCACTTGAAAAAAAAAAAAAGGGGGGGGGGGGTATAAAAAGTTTTTAAGTGATTAATTTCTTATAGCTAGACTGAACGATTAGTATTCCTGCTGAAGCTGAGTTTCCTTCTAGGAAATCATATCCAATTGGCATTCAGTAGCCTGCGTCCTCCGTTCAATTACTTGCAGACAAGTATCCAAATCACAAGATACAAAGTGCATTCCTTGGTACTGTTTGCAAATCAAATCAAAGTTGACTGAACATAGAGACTGAACTCCCTGGAGGTGATGTCTCACAAGAAGGCCAAGTTGCACTGCACTAGGAAACTGCTAGCACTGCTGCTTGGTCTGTTTCCTGCTCATGATAACAAGAGGGTTTTAGTCTCCAGGGCTGTTAATCTATCATCTTTCATCAACACTAAATTCATACATAATAAATACAAGTTTTTAGAAACACAGTTTTTTTTTAAGTGAAGGACTTTATTACCCACAGGAATCAATATAAAACTGCATTAACAATGAGAGAGAAAGACTAAAGCTGTCAATTAAATTCAACATTTTTCCTTCTGCTGTACCAATATCATCTGCCCATCCTGTGAAACTGTAAAATGAAAACACTTGATACTTAAACAAAGAACAGTAAAATGATCAAGTAGTATTCTACTGACCCCTGCTGGTTATAGTGGAAAATAACACTTCATATGCAATCACCAGCTTTCTTCTGTCAATTGCTTGGCAATATTTATTTTCTTGGATATTAGATTATCAGACACTTATATTCACTTTTTAAATTTTATTATGTTTACTTTCCAGACTTCCAGAGGGGGAAAAAAAGAAGTTCGCTGGCACTTCTGTGATCATAGTTAATTCCTAACAAAGCAATATCATATACTTAGATTTGGTCTTGCTTTGAAATGGCACGCATAACAATGAATATACTGAAATAGCTTCTCGAACTCCAACCATCAATTAAGAATTAATTTTAATTTAGTTAAAATACTTTTATTTTTCTTTTGTGTTGTGTTTGGAATGTAGTGGGAAGAAAAATGACTGTATAGTGGTTACATCCTTGGACCAGTTTATGAGGAAAACCGATTCATCCATGTTTTATGGACAAACTATCATACTATTCCTCGTAAATTCTTCAGAAATTATTACCAGAAGCCAAACATCATGTCCATTACTAAAGGATCTCTGAGCTATACTGTTGCTATCTGTCTACCTCCCAAACTGTATTCAAAACTGATACAAGCAAAGTACTCCAGTAATACAGCAATGAAGGATGTACGAACACTTTAAAGGCAAGCGGAAAAAAATAAATTACTTATATAGTCAGAACACTCAAAACTGATGTTTTGGTCAAATGGTGCCTGTTGAAGCTAATGGACTAAGAGATGTGCTTTGCTCCAAACGTGTCCGCTTCTTTCGTAAAACCAAAAATGTCTGAGGACAGAATCTCTACAGTCACCTAAAACTTCACAGTGCATCCTATACAAATGGACAACTGGCAGCTGCAATCCAAAACTACAAAGTCCAATTCTAATATTACACTGGAGAAGGAGAAGGGGTAGGAAGAGAATAAATTTTCTCCTGACGGAACTGGGACTACCGATTTTTTTTCCCACTTAAATACAATCTATATGAAGACAAAATGTACACTCAGCTTAGTTATCTAGCTACTCCCACATAATTTAACATAAGTCATTACTTTTCAGTTGTTAGTATTTTGCTTCAAAATACTAAGGTATAACCTGAAAGACCGATCTTATTCTTATAGAATATATAGCTGAAGAATTACAACTGTGGTCCCAAGGGGGAAAAAAAAGTCTCACCTTCCTTTTTTAACCATTTCACAATGTTTCCTTCTTCCATTGTAGGAGAAAGGGCAGGCATGAGGACCTTAATTGCAGGCGTACCTGTAAAACAATAACATTATTATTCAGACTAGATGCTTTTCCAATTATTTTCTCAGTAAATTGCTTAACTCAAATGCAACTAGAAGTGAATGAATCTGAAGAACAATTATTGAACAAAATATTAACTACGATGATGCTCTTTTTCTAGAATGTACATACATGCACACACTGTAAATGCACTCCCAAGAGCACCAAGGGAAGCAAAGCACAAAGCACTGAATCTGTCTGTTACACAGAGAAGAGCCAACTTGAATATGAAGCCATAAAAATATAAAGCTTTAAATAAATTGAACCCTGTCTTAAATAAAAATACAACATGGACACTTTAGATCTGATGAAGATGATTTCAGACGCTCATGCTCTTTCAGCTTTAAAGCAGTTTTTAAGGGAAACTTTTCCTAGGACTAAGACTTAGCGCATTATTAAAAATAGACACTAGTATTTCAAGTAGCTCTCAGTTCAGCTTGACCTACTGAACAATGCTTTGGTGGATGGAAGTGAAGCACAGTTATAAGACTTTTGCCCAATAGAAATGTAAACAGAAAAAAAATTTACAGCTCGCTTAGAGCTCAAACTATGCGGGTGTTACCATGCATCAAATGAAAATGCAACAACAAAATATAAACATCACTAGAAGAATATAATCAGCTATGATGAAGCTGTAAATTTTCTTCCTCATATAAATGTCACAAAACTCAAAAGCTGAGCCACCAACAGCCTCTGCTTCTTGCATACCAGAGGCAGAGGTACTAAGCCAAACTGGGTTTCCATTTTTTTTCGTGTGTTTCTACACTGTGGTCCCTGCACATGCTTAGTTCTGCCCCATCAGAGCTTCTCTGAGCAAAACCTTGGCTAAAACACTGTGCCATAGCCTCTCCTTCCCTCCAGGACACACAGACAAACAAAATGAGTCTCAAAGACAAGTGAGCAGGGAAGGGAGTCCAAGCATAAGTACTTGTCAGATATAAGCAAACCCAAAGGAAAGAAAAACCCCAGGCACAGCAGTGTGCATGCACACCAATCTCAATCCTTAAGAGGCCAAAACTGCTGCAGTCACAAGAAACTGGATGAGAGGTATTGGTAAGTTACCCTCTGGTGTACCCTGATGGGCTATAAAGGACCGGATACTCCATCCAGAAATGCCTCAGTAGGTATTCACCAGCATTTGTCTCTCTAGTTCTGCAGTCTGATTACAAACACATGAGCACTGTGCCTACAAAGCACCTCCTGTTCTATCTCAGAGTGCTTCTCTGTCCTCAGATTTCTAGTCATGGGCATGTGTGTTAGGACAGAGTGGGGTGGAAATGCACAGACACAGCTACCCAAATGTCAGAACCATCTCTGACTCTTAACCAAAGGTGAGAGACTTCAGCTTAATTGTGACCCCTGTCCTTACTGCTGAACTGGAATACGAAAAGCGTGCCAAGGCAAAGCATATAATCCCATTCCCTGAAGTTCAGAGTCCTGGATTCCGAGACCAGAAGTTTCATCAATTTTCTCAAAATCTACCACAAACACCGTGTGTTCCTTCTCCTCTCCACTGCAGGCTTTGGAATTTTTTCCAGATGACAGATTAAAGCATATCTTTTAAATTAATAAAGCCCCCCTGACCCCAGTACTCCAGACAATGATGAGCTGCCTCCTGCACTGATAAACCGTTCCAGCATTTATTTATCCTTTTTCCTAGGAAACCAGATCTACTTTGCAGTCTGAAATTGCCCAACCCAAATTTCAGTGATTGGATCTTATGTCTGATAAAAAAAAACTTGAAACATTTCTCATTCCAGAGATCTTCCGTGGGTGTCTCTATAGAGGGACCAGGTAAATTCTCAGCCCTTTCCTTCCCGTGACAAGCCAAACACAAAGACCGGAAGGTTCCACCACGTATTTAAGCAATAAGACCCCAGCCTCACCACACCACATACATGTACTTGGCACAGGCGGCCAGCAGCTCGCTGCCACGTGCCAGCCAGCTGAACCTTCCCAGGGCACCCGAACACAGCGGGAGAAGCAGCCCTGCACAGCACCCAGCTGCATGACACCCACGTGGGACTGCGAGCGCAGGGCTCATGCCCAGCACGCCGCCTCCTGCCCTCTGATCCTGGTGCCACGGGGGCATGCAGACGCCCAGCCGGTGACACCGGAGATACCCTGCTGACCTTCTGCGGAGAGCAATGAGGCCAAACTAGTACAGTACTAGTACAGCTCTTCAGGTGCTATTTTGGAAGAGCAGTTTTCCAGTGCCTGGTCAATTTTTAAAGCTCTTCTTGAATTATTTTTAATCGGAATTTGTATCGAGTTAAAGCACAGAAACAGACAAATAGGAAGAACACTGCACATAACTGGCAAACATCAATTCTGCTTCATATTCCCCTTTTCTCTGTACCCTGTCAGCAGCATTAAGGTTTATCAAGAATAGGAAGCAGCAGCACATTTCTCCCAGTTCCTGTATTGCTTAGAACAGGAACAGCTTTACACACTTAGGAGTGACCCCAGTTTTTTTCCCATTGTCCAGAATAAAACAGGCAATGAAATAAAATCAGAGGTTTCAGCTAAAAGGCCAGAATGAAAACGCTTCCATCCTTACTTCTAAGTCCTAACTTAATGGTTAAGATCTCAGAGAAGACAAAGATAAAAAGGAAAACTTCAATTAATACACAATGTTTTAAGGGATTTAAAAGCATCCACCTCTGTTCTGTAATTAATTAATGTTAATATATCCAATAAATCTGCCCTTGCCTGTCTCACTGTTACAGGATTATGAAAGAATTAAATTATTAAACTTGTAAAAGGTATTAAAACATAAATATTTCAGAGGTTATGTAGAGTTATAGACATGACACAGTTTTTCCATTATTGCTGGACACAATGCATTTTTTAAAATGCAAAATTGAAATAATGTATTGAAATATCTAACAACCTCAGCAGCCATTAATGACCTCACCATTTTAGGAGGCACAGAGAGCAGAGAGTGAGCTATCTATTCCCCAAAGTCCCCAGGACATCAAAACAATCAGGGTCACTGCTCCCCAAAACTCTTGAACTGTGGATACTGAGCCCAGCATATACATGGTTCATGTTTCCAGCAGACTGCATGAAGAAATACACATTTCTTTCAGCTGCCTATTCCCAGGGTATTTTTCCTTTTCCAACTCAGCCCTAGAAATTGTTCTGTTCTTTCTGTGATACTGAAACACTTGTCAGAGTTGCATTATTCATTACTGTAGTCCTTAGAAATGCATCCAGACAATGTTCTGGGTAGCACTGCTGGTCTTCATCTGAACTTCCTCCAAGAATTTTTTTTTTAAGTTTCTTTTTGCAAGCTCTCATCTTGGGCTAATACACATGAAAATGATCTACATTAACAATGTATATTACTCTGAGAATTCTTCTCTGTGCTCATGTACCACATAATCGTTTATTTATGATTTTTTTTCCTTACACTCCAAGTTAAAGCATGAGTTTATTTTTCTTTATGCTATGTACATTCACTGAAATACATTTATAGGTAACAGCAAGTAGAAAATACATTACTTGAAAGTTTACACTATGTAAATAAATGCTTTCCATTTCATTTGTCTAAATTGATAAGTCAACTTTGATGATCAAATACAACAAAAAAATTACTTTGAAGTCATACCCCACAAAAATTTAGGACTACCTAGAACTTGGACGTACTTCACTGAAAAAAAATGAAAGCATTCCACATTTGTAATGAGAAAAATATATGTTTTTAAACACGGTGTGTCATAGTTTTTGTTTTAGTAAAGAGTTACTTGACCCATTCCCCACAATATGCTCCATACCATGGAATAAACCCAAAACTGAGCAACAAATCTGGGGTACTGTAACATTTTCCCTTTCCTGTTATGAGCAGCTACAACAAACCATACGGTCCCTTCTGGTCCTTTAAGCAAATTAAAAGACAAGATCCAGAAGCAAGCATACATGAAGTATTGGAAAAGTAAACCAGAGACAAAGCAGGAGAAAGAATCCAAAAATCAAGGCATGCATTAAAATGCGTCCTCTGAAAATGAGGAACTGTTGGGCCTCATTGCAATAATGGAAAACGCAAGTGAGTAGCAGCATTCAAACTGACTGTGCAAGGTGTATGACTCTGCCTTTAACAGTCACAAAGAAAGAAAAATTCTACCACCATGGCTCTGCAACAATATTTAGGAACTGTACAAACAAAACCTAGGATTGTGAAAACTAATCCTATGGTCCACTTTCTTTGAAGATGGACTGCAACTTGCAGGGCCCATACTACTACTTGGAATGTAGCTGACCTTTTACTTCAAAACAGAATACTATATTTAGTATTCTGGGTTTGAAATAGACACAGAGTGATGTGGGGATTCCAGGCTGGAAAAGAAACATCTGGCTGTAAAATTCTGTGCATTGTCATTCAAGACTTAAGATATACTGCAAAACAACTGTTGATGTTTTCTTTTGGACTGTTGAGATGTTTTCTTTAGACCGTTCACCTGAAAGTTCAGCATACTGTTTAAATCACAAAATAATTTGCATATGGAAATATTTTGATCACCAAATGCATTCAAACCAAAAGAGTTATATAGTTATATAGACACATCACAGGTCAAAACTTAAAAGGAAAATACAAGTTTATTTGTAGTTGCCAAGTGTTGGCTTTTGAAAACTTTCCGTATCTTCCTACATGGACGTTGCATGCATTTTAATATCCATCTTATTGTCTAGGGTAATTTGTGGCCTTGGCCAGCCTGACCTAGTGGGTGACATCCCTGTCCACGGCAGGGGGGTTGGAGTTGGATGACTTTTAAGATCCCTTCCAACCTGAGCCTTTCTATGACTCTATGAAAAGAAATCATCGTATTCACACAGAGAATTGCACTGAACTATAAAAGCAGTCTTTATAACCACTCTAAAAGTAAATATTGTTGCTCTTTCATTGCATGTAAACATGCAATGAAGAAAAGTTCTGGCAATTCACACAATCCCACAAAGATGAGGCTCACTCAGTTAACAGAACGTAGAGCTACAACCACGAGAAAATTCTCAATTCCCAGTCTCCATCCACTAATTCGACTCCTATCAATTTGAAGTGTTATCATTTCACATTTAGCTGACTTGAAAAAATGAAGAAAGATCTAAAACACTACAACAGAAAACCTTCACATAAATTGGAGCTACTATTTTAAAGATAACCCCCTATGTAGCCAAGAGCGTTTTTCTTGGTGATACATTTTAAGAATTATGTCAAACATGGGCATGAGATTTCTGCCTCCTCCTCCTCCCCTCCTTGAAGAGATTTAATGCATCTTTACACTGTATATTTAATGAACTAAAGAGCAGACCAGTAGACCTCTGTAATAGGCTATTAGCCACAACCTGAGAATATCGGTGATGATGAATTTTGTAGTTAAACATATCCAAATATAACTTTGGTTTGTTGCCTTGTTTGACCTCCTTTGACATGGAAACAGTTACAGCTTTGTCAAAACAAACAAAATGATTTAATGCGCCCCACTGGTGAGCTCTTTCACAACTTCCTAAGTAATACTCCTGAGTGACAACAGATTTAAAAGATTTACTCCAACCTGACATCAATGATAGGATTAAGGAATACTAAAAAAATAACACAAGAAAAGGTTGACTAGACCTCTAATATTTTTAGAGGTTTGTTCTATTTTTCTTTCTATGAAGAAAGTACATCAGTGCTCTGGCCTTACACCAAGTCTACTGTGCAGCTCCTCAAAGTTACTAGAGTGTCAATTACCTGTCCAAACATAAGTAATTTATACCAATTTGCCACTATTTTGAAGCACATCTAAACATTGGTAGTTCAGCTAATGTTATTAAAGACATTGGAAAGCCTACGCATAGGCACTGCTGGAACTTCACACTTTTCAGCTTATGGAGATGCACTGGTGTGACCTAAGAGATAACAGAGGGTTGAACCAACAGCAGAAGCTATCCAGTTTTTGCTCCCACCACCCCTTTGTTTTTCTCTCCTTGACCTCCCCTATATTCCACAAGTTGCACATCCTTCACATTCCACAGGCAGGAGGCAGATCATGCCGTTTAATACAAACAGATTAAAATAACATAGTTCTACTGCTGCAGCGTAAGGCACCTGCAAGGCCTGCCAGCAGGACAAGAGAGATGTCACAAGGTATCACAGAGCTCTTGCCCCCTAGCTGGACTACAGTGTTGCAATTACCAGTTAAGAGGGAAAGAGCTATTCTATTTCTAAAAACAAACAAACAAACAAACAGCTTTTATAAGCAGATACTGCTTATAAGCAAATCCAAACCATGACCTAGTTATATACTAGTCATTTAGTATATATACATGGTTTGCTCTTGGTAGGTTTCACCGTGTAACTGACTAACTCTTTATTTCTCACACTAATTTACTTACAGGCGATTTCTTTGATACTTCTGCAAGACAAGAACCGCATCGTGTTATACCTTGACCTTCCCAGATTTGTTCCTACACGTTTACTCCTGGCAATTCCAGCAGATTCCTGCTGTAGGCCTCCTGGTGTCCTTCCTTGCAAGGCCTGCATGAGCAACCTCTTTGAAACTGACCTGTACTTACATTTCCTTTCCTCCCTTTATCTGCCTGCCTTTTACCATGTTTTAGACAGTTCCGTATCATTCACAGCAAAGAAATAAAAGTGTAAGTTCTCCTAGGAGTTTATTAGGTGATGTTTTTTAAAAGCCTAGATGCCAAGGGCTGGAACATTGCTATGTTAGTAACCAATACAGGAGCTGAGCGCGGCAGCCCTCACCCAGCTCTGAGGCCAAGAACCCACCTTGGGAATTAAGACCAGCGCTTCAGCACAAACCCCAAACTCGCCTCCTAAACCCGCGTTGAAAATTAAAACCCATTTCCTCACAGACGGGACCAGCTCTGGCCAGACGGCTGCCGCAAGGCGCTCGCTAACAGCCCGGCCCTGCCCCCAGCACTCACCGCAGCGCCTGCCGAGAGCCGTGCAGCGGCCTCCAGCCCCCGCGGGCGGCGGCGGCGCCCAGCAGCGGCCTCCCGGCCAGCAGCCGCCTCAGCGCCCCGCCGCCGCCCCGCCACAAGGAGGCCGCCATCTTGCCTCGCCTCCCGCCCCGCCCCGCCGCGTCGCGCCGGGGCTGCCCGCTGCGCTGCCTGCGCCGTGCCCCGCCGCCAGGCCCCCTGCTCGGCGCTATGGCTGCCGCCAACGGCTGCGGGTGTAACGGCGCGCAGGTAACGGGCGGCCGCGCGCAGCCCCCGGCCGTTGAGGGGGGAAAGGGGGGGGGGGCAGGTGCTGAACACCCGGCCTTTAAAACTCATTAAAGCTGCTAATTGCGGGAATAAGCAGTGAAAGTGGTGCGCAATAAATACATAAGTGATCAGTTTCAGCCTTTATACGTAGGGCAGCACGGAGCCGCTTTGCCACGTTAAACTGAGCTCGTCCAAGGAATAATGATTTACTACCTGTCAGTGTGAAATATCAGCTATATGACTCCATCCCTGCTTCTTTCTCAGGACAATATATATTTTCTAAGTAATTTGTGAGGGAGAAGTACATGTGAGATACATATGTGATACATATGTAGATACGGATATGTATATATATACACATATATACATTATATATATCATATATCATATATACATCATATATCAGATATATATGTAGATATATATAGATATGGATGTAGATAGGGAGATACATGTGTGTGCATCTGTATATATGTATGCATATATCAAGTACTGCTTATTGACTGTAATATCCTGAAATAACCTCATATTCCTGAAATAAACTCACGTCCTGAAATAAACTCACTTTAGTTGAGTTTTACGATGTGTTTGTTGCACAGGTAGCCTGGGGCCACCTTGATTTCCATTATGTTAGATTTACATGATATTATCATTTTTTTAGTTTTAATAGTACTAAGAATAAAAAGTTGGATAAAATAGGAAAAAGCCATTTTTCCTTGAGCAGCCACAGTCTTTTTGCAAAATACAAAAACCGTTTTCTGAAAAAAATAAAAATAAAAATACTGATGGAAATAGCTTAAATTTTAAGTGAATACTTTGTCAGTTTCTGTTTTGAAACTTACCAGCAAACTTGTTTTCAAAAAAAATAAAAATAAAAATGTAAGGATTGAAAAATCAGTCACTTCTTTTAACTCATGAAAATTTGTGGAGTTTTTCCTCATACCTAGCATGTAGAAAGCTCAGGTCAAGATGATAACAGTATAGCAGCAAAGAAGCTAAATTGCCCACACTGACTGTGTTGGAAAACTGGTGGTCTAGATCCTGAGTTGGAGACCTAAGGAAGGAGAAAACCAAGTGGCATCTGTCCTTCAACTTAAAAATTGTTAAAGTTCTGTTAGTTGAAATTGACAAAGAGATCCTGTGGTTGCCTGCTGCTGTCACAAGTTCACTCCCAAGCTTGTTACAGTAAATAACCTTTTTTAGATTTGAAAAGGGGTGTCATCTTTATTATCAGTAATTTTAAACATGAAATACAACGATATTTCTGTTCAGGTAGTTTGTGGTTATAACCAGTATCCACTAATCCTGGAAAAATATTAAACTATGAAGACTGATTTCTGATCCTAGAGTTCCTCAGAAAAACAGTCAAAAATTCTGGATGATACTTACTTCTGTATGTTTTTGTTGAAAGTAGTTCCTGAATTTGAACTTAAAAAAATACTTCTGAAGATTTAAAGTGGCAAAAAGCACATATATTCCGCTATGAATGTGACTTTTGTGCTAAATGTCCAGACTCATCAGAGAAAATCTGAAACAATTGGAAGAATGCTATAACAGAATTTTTCACTGTTGTGTACATTCAATAAATAAGGGCAGTATAAATCTGTTTAATTGGAGTTTGTTCCATCAGAAGTAGAAGGGATAATTTTTCTTTGAAATGAAAAATACCAGTTCATGGGTTAGAACTAGTCAGTGATGTCGTGTTGAATGAAAGTCAAAACAAGACGTCATGGGACTCAGTCTGTGGCGGTCTGTAACAAGTTAGAACAACAGAACGGGGACCCATAATTTACACATGCTATGCACTTGTTTTTGTAAACATAGAACACATGCATTAATATTTTCAGAATCACAGTAACATTTCAGAGACGGTAGCATTTGAGAAATATGCTTAGTTGGAATATACTTGTTAGTATGTTAACTATTCTCAGTGAAGAAGAGCTAGAAAGGAATGGTTTCCTTCTCAGCTATGTGATTGAGGGAGGGATTTCAGAATTTTTTCACTGTAAATGTAGAAGTTTGCTTTTTTTTTTTTTTTCCCCTCTTTGTGTACTCTTGTCTATAATATTCTGTTTTAAGTAGTGTGAAGTTGGTGCTTGAAAAATCTAACTTCTTACCTAAGTTTGTAGGTGTGTCGATTAGTCTGTGTCTAACACTTGAATAAACAGGCATTTTTTTATTTTTTAAATATACTGAAGGAGATTAAAGAACAGAAACAAAGCAGGCAGGATTAGCATTTGAAGTGAATGCCAGTTCTTCAAAGATGACATCTTCATAAACAAGTGTCATTGAAGAACATGGTGCTACGCTGCTAAATTGAAGTATTGATCAGACTTTACATACATATTTTAATATATATAATAAATTATGCAAGAGTTTGCGCCAATATCCAGGGTCAGTATTTGATGACCTAAGGGTCTATTTTTTTCCAAAACAGCCTTCCTAAAATTGATCGTTTTTCTGATGAAAACTGGCAATTCAGGGAGTACATGTGTTAATTGCTGATTTGTGTCACGCACTCATATAAGAAACATAACCAGCTCTGTTACTGAGGTATTGTACTTACAGATCTTACCCCATTCTAGGAAGATACATTTATGTGAAAGTACTTCTCTGTTTCACTACTGTTTTATCCATTACTTTAAGAGTTCAATTATATCAGGATCTTTGTGAAAATACATATAATTTTTGGTTTTACAGTGGTAAAGCAGGGAGGCTTTGTTCGGTTTCTGTTCTCTAAGATAAGCTAAAAGAAGTACTCAAGTCAACTGTGCAAATGAGGAAATTCAAGCACACTATGACTTAAAGTCTGTATCTCACAATTTTCTCTTTATATACTGGTTATTTTTCTCATATAAATATTTCAACATTCAAGATCTTAAATTTTCTAATACTTAATTACCAAAGACTGTTACCTACCTGTTATGTACAGCTTTCTGAGTTTTATATGTTCAGTGCAAAGAAATGTTTAGAATTTCCAATAAATAGTTTTGGCTTGTACTGTAAAGCCAGTCTGGTTTAGGTCAATGATAAACGTATCTTTGCCATGACAGGTACCTTTGTTGAAAAGTCAGATAGATAGATGTATACATCTGTATTTAAATGTGTATTTATATATGTAATATATTTACATATATACACATATAGTACATATATAATAAACAACAGAATGTGGAAAAAATAAATACTTTTTTCCTTCTGAAAGAAATATTAAAATAATGCAATTTGCCTTCTGGCTAAACTGCTTGTGAGGTAACCTCACATTGTAAAAATGCAGGAATGTGAAGTTCCTCAAATAATTTGCCTATCTTTTCTATGGTATTTTTCACTGCTGTGTAAAATATTAGCAGCTTAAAATCATATTCTACTGTAATTTATAGTAAGTATGGATAAAATCATATAGTAATTCATAAATTAAACTATAAAGTTTCAAAGCTAGCAAAATAAGCATACAGAAAATTGATACAATGGAAAAACAGTAGAGCTTTTCAAAGTGAAAGAAGTTACGTACATTTATTTTCCATATAATCCATGATGTGATCTTGTTGGTAATACTCATGGGCCACTGCACTTGGATAAATTTGAGATGAGACTATTCCTGTGAAGGATAAGTAGCCATATTTTATTTCAGAGTTTTGTTTGTTTCAAGGCATGAATGGCCCCAACAAAGCAAAGAAGACATTGTACAAAGACACAGTCATTTTGTAATTGAAGTTTGTAAGTGTAAATTAGACTGTCATGCTGCAGTATGAAAGCACTACCTCTTTAAACTATGTTTCAGAAATGAAATTCTTGGTTTTGTGATGTTTATGATAGCTTTTAATTTATTTTTAATTTATTTGCAGGAAAAGTTGCATCCAAGAAACCTTATCCCAGAGCTTTGCAGACAGTTTTATCATTTAGGCTGGGTAACAGGAACTGGTGGAGGAATCAGCTTGAAGCATGGGTAAGTAAAGACGGAAGAAAAAGAAACTAGATGATCTTTGAATGTCCCTTCCAGCCTAAATCATTCTATGATGGGCATAGAGAGAAGGTGGCTGTCATTTAGTATTTGGTGAGGGCAGTTCAGTTCCATGACAAGTGTTTGACAGTCAAGTGCATGTAACAAGGTAGAAGTGGAAATGAACAATACCACAAATTTAGCCGTACAGAAAGGAGGTGTCTAGCCTGAATTAATTACTGAGGTTCCTTCAGTGGAGGATAGGCAACTTCAGAGAGTTTCTTTATTCTGTCCTTTTTCTATCTTTAAGGTAGATGAATTGCCTTCAAAGAATTATCTCTTCTCCCTTTTTCATTCCACTGACTATGGAATCTAGATTAGGTTATGCCAGGCTATCAAATGCCTCTGGTTAGATGAGATTAATCCCACCTTAGACATGTCGCAGACAAGACATTTCCTTCAATAAGGAAATCACTGTTCAACTGAGATAATTTCTAAGGAGATATTCTTGGCATATAATTAAAGCAGAACAGGCAAGAGCAAAACAATTTTTGGTGTGTATCTGAGGAGCAACACTTTGCTTTTTACTTGCTCATCAGCCCTTGTTCATACTTTCCAAGCTTCTAATGGAGACAGAGCTCCTCTCAGTGGCCATCGAAAAAAAGAGAAATGATCGCTGCAAAGTAGCTTTCACAGTGTCTGCCACCTCACAGGGTGTTGTGACACTGTAACTTGAAAGTGACTGATCCCTCATTTTTCTGACATATCCTTCCATGCAGTGTATACCAGAAAGAAACCAGCTATTACCATTTAAATATGTATGTGTATCTCAAATAAACACCGCCCTAAACAGTAATGTTTGTGATATAATGGCTTTGGGCAGGTCGTGTCACTTCCCTGCTTGTTTTTGCAAACAAACCA